ATCTTGAATGTAACTCGACACCTTTGCTTCATTGAGTATACACGGTTCTATGAATATGCAAATGAGCCCCGCCTCCACTCACTCACTCAGCTCAGAGATCCACTGGTTGACGATCACACGTTGATCTGATTGGTTACAAGGTCGTTTGTGACGTCAGAAACACCAGCGATTTCAAACCGTGTTTTTGAGACTGTCTTTGGTTCACTGCAGTTTTAAAGAGAAAATACTCAGCAATGCTGTCGACTTATGAATTTACACATGGTTTGTCTTAAAGCATATTAAAAACACCACATAGACATATAAACAACATTAAAAGCTGGATTTTCACCACGAGGGACTTTAATAATTTGTTCAGAAAATGATGTCACTGTCATGAGCTAGAACCGCAATGGTGATGACTGCATTTTATCAAATTTATTTTGGCAGATTTTCCACTTTAAAGAAAATAGCTATTTTTATTAAATAAACAGTTCAGCCAAAGTTGAAAATAATGTCTCACCCTAATGTATTTCCAAACCTGTATACAGTGTGTTATCAGTTCACACTGGCAAATTTGTGATTTGTTAACTTTGGTTATTTACACTGATTTGCTGCTTCAAACTTTATCCTCCTCTTTCCTGACGAGCGACTGCGTTTTAGATTATGGGAGGGGCTTCCGGTTTGGGGAAGTTTCACTCAAAAAGACTGAAACAAATCATTTCAGATCATAAGGTTGTGCAACAAATAATCCTTATCTCACAGTTTGACTGAACGAGCTGTCAAATTTCAGACGTCAGGAGAATATCGAAACGCTTGGTATTTCAACAGGGTTTGACTATCACAGGAATATCTGTGGCAAGAGACTTTCGCATTCTTTTCCTCCTGATTATTTTCTTTGTATTCTGCAGTAGCAGTATAAAACATCAACATATACTGTGGTCTGTTCTCCTGATGTGATTTACGATATCTAAATAATTCCCTGGAATGCATTGAGAATCTCTTGTATTTTTTTCTTGAATCTCTTTTAACTTCTTATCAGCAGTGTTTACTGGAATGTTTCTAAACCAGTTTGTGCAAAAATATTACAAGATAATGTATAACATACATTACATTGACTTCAGTTTCTACATTGAAAGAAAGCATTTATCAAGATGTTTAATATCTGATTTAATCAAAAGAATAATCAACAAATTAATGATCAAAATACTATTAGTTCAAGGAGCGTGTCATTGGCTACTTTGACTAGTTTCAAATCCAAAGCTTTTTGTAAATGAACCTTATTAGTTTAGTAACTCATGATAGACAAGGTCGCAGTTGAAGCCGCCAAACGGTGTGTTAATAACGCTTGTACTCAATGTAGAAAGTTATGCTTCGTTTAGTCATTCCAGACTGGCTTTGCCAACAACACTTCACTGTGCCAACTGGCCGAACGACAGACTTCCCACATGTGATCGGAAAAGAGTCGGAGACAGACAGGAATGTCTGTGCGTATTGCCAGAGGCGCTGAGAGGTATCTGATGCATTAGAGCATTAGGAGTTTATGACCAACGGTTTAGCAATTATTACTAATAAGTTAAAGACATTATCCATTGTTTTTCTACTTTGTTTTTGTACATTTTGTATGTAAATTTATTTATTTATTTATTTATTATTTACAACCATTGGACAGTATTGGAAAAAAGATTTCCCATATATGCTGGACACACACAGGCTGTTTTTCCTTTTTAAATTACATTTTAAATTAATTTTTGAATTAAATTGCATTTTAAATGAGATTGAATTATTATTTTTTATTTTTTTATTCATTTATTTATTTTCACTACCAGTTTGGACAGTACTTTGGAAAAATATTTCCCATAAATGCTGTTTTTACTATCTGCTCCAACCAATCCATTTAAATTCAATTATTGGCTCAGTTTGTTTATCTATGTATATATATATTTTTAAATCAAAATTCTTTTAGGATATTGAGAAACTTAAATTCAGTTTGTTGTGGTAGTGTAAATTACATAAATATTTAAATTTATGTGTAAGACATGGGCACAAGCATGAGTAGTAAAGTATTACTCACCAACATTAGTGTGTGTGCGTGTGTGTGTGCGTGTGTGTGTGTGTGAGAGAGAGCTGAAGCAGGAGACAGGACTGGAGTCAGGTTACATCAGTCGTCTGCTCTCACTGAAGCTTACGACTAATGAGAGAGAAACATCCATGCACTTAATCTAATACATTATTTATGTCCTGATAATATATCATGTTTTGTGTGTGTAATATTCACACACTCCGTCATGCCTGGCAACGCCCTTCAGCCGTGACTTATTCACGATACACAGCCTCTTGTACCTTATTGCTTACTTACGTGAGGCAGACGGACGAAAAGACAGACAGACAGACCTGACAAACAAACAGACAGACAATCAGACAGACAGACAAACAGACAGACAAACAGACAGACAAACAGACAGACAGACAGACAGACAGACAGACAGACAGACAGACAAACAGTCAAACAGACAATCAGACAGACAGTCAAACAGACAAAGAGACAGACAATCAGACAAACAAACAAACAGACAGACAGTCAAACAATCAAACAGACAGACAAACAAACAGACAGACAATCAGACAGACAAACAAACAAACAGACAGTCAAACAGACAGACAATCAGACAGACTTACGGACAGTCAAACAAACAGTCAGACAGACAGAAAGTTAAACAAACAGTCAAACAGACAGACAGACAGACAGTTAAACAAACAGTCAGACAGACAGTCAAACAAACAAACAGACAGTCAAACAGACAGACAATCAGACAGACTTACGGACAGTCAAACAAACAGTCAGACAGACAGACAGTTAAACAAACAGTCAAACAAACAGACAGACAGACAGACAGACCGTTAAACAAACAGTCAGACAGACATACAGTCAGTCAAACAAACAGACAGGCAGACAGACAGTCAAACAAACAGACAGACAGACAGTTAAACAAACAGTCAGACAGACAGTCAGTCAAACAAACAGTCAGACAGACAGTCAGTCAGTCAAACAAACAGACAGACAGTCTCTCGTACCTTATTGCTTACGTGGGGCAGACGGACGAAAAGACAGACAGACAGACCTGACAAACAAACAGACAGATAGTCAAACAAACAGAAAGACAAACAAACAGACAGACAAACAAACAAACAGACAGACAATCAGACAGACAGTCAAACAAACAGACAGTCAAACAAACAGACAGACAAACAAACAAACAAACAGACAGACAATCAGACAGACAGTCAAACAAACAAACAAACAGACAGACAGACAGACAGACAGACAATTAGACAGACAAACAAACAGACAGACAATCAGACAGACAGACAGACAGACAGACAAACAAACAAACAAACAGACAGACAGACAGACAATCAGACAGATAGTCAAACAATCAAACAGAAAGACAAACAAACAGACAGACAAACAAACAAACAGACAGACAATCAGACAGACAGTCAAACAAACAGACAGTCAAACAAACAGACAGACAAACAAACAAACAAACAGACAGACAATCAGACAGACAGTCAAACAAACAGACAGACAGACAGACAGACAGACAGACAGACAGACAATTAGACAGACAAACAAACAGACAGACAATCAGACAGACAGACAGACAGACAGACAGACAAACAAACAAACAAACAGACAGACAGACAGACAATCAGACAGATAGTCAAACAATCAAACAGACAGACAAACAAACAGACAGACAATCAGACAAACAAACAAACAGACAGACAATCAGACAGAGATACACACAGTCAAACAAACAGTCAGACAGACAGACAAACAGACAGACAAACAAAAAGACAGACAGACAGTTAAACAAACAGTCAAACAGACAGACAGACAGACAGTTAAACAAACAGTCAGACAGACAGCCAAACAAACAGACAGACATACAGACAGTTAAACAAACAGACAGAATGTCAAACAAATAGACAGACAGACGGTCAAACAAACAAACAGCCAGACAGTCAGTCAAACAGACAGACAGGTGTGGTGGAAAATATCCGAGAACAAATAGTTTTTCTCCTCAGGGCGACGTCTCAACCTGTACACAAAACAACAGCATTGAGGCCGATGACAGCAAAGGGATCTTTCAGACTTACGTGGGGCAGACGGACGAAAAGACAGACAGACAAACCTGACAAACAAACAGACAGACAGTTAAACAAACAGTCAGACAGACAGTCAAACAAACAAACAGACATAGTCAAACAAACAAACAGACAGACAGACAGTTAAACAAACAGACAGACAGTCAAACAAACAGACAGACAGACAGTTAAACAAACAGACAGACAGTCAAACAAACAGACAGACAGACAGTTAAACAAACAGACAGACAGTCAAACAAACAAACAGACAATCAAACAAACAGACAGACAGACAGACAGTTAAACAAACAGATAGACAGACAGACAGAGAGGCAGACAGACAGTCAAACAGACAGACAGGAAGACAGACAGACAGACAGACAGACAGGTGTGGTGGAGAATATCCGAGAACAAATAGTTTTTGTCCTCAGGGTGACGTCTCAACCTGTACACAAAACAACAGCATTGAGGCCGATGACAGCAAAGAGATCTTTCACACAGGACAGGAGTGTGTGAGCTCGCCAACTTCACATGTATAAATGCTGCACAAATGAGTCACGTCACATTAATTGTTGTTTAACTGTATTTGTGGAAGCTTTGACACTACCGTCTTTATGCGGATGCTCTTCAAAGCGTGATGCAACTAAGGGGAAAAAAATGTGTTGAAAAACTGAAAAATATTTTTGGTGACATAAATCACAACAATCCTGTGCTTCCTTACAACATAAGTTTTTTACACTACCATTTGAAGCTTCCACTTCAAACATGGAAGTTTGATAAAGGCCTGTTTGATGAAAAATACAGTAAAAACAGAATTATATATATGTGGTGCTGAGTCACATTTGACATGGTTTTTGTCTTGATATTTTTAGGTATGGAAAGATTGTTTCCACCAAAGCTATTCTGGACAAAACTACCAACAAATGCAAAGGTGAGTGCAAATCACACCTGACTTCTTAATGTTTCATTGACAATGACATGCAGCCTATGCATCTGACATAAATATCTTACTTTTTGTATGTATGTATATATGTAGGGTATGGCTTTGTGGATTTCGACAGTCCTCCGGCAGCGCAGAAGGCCGTGACGGCGCTCAAGGCCAGTGGGGTTCAAGCTCAGATGGCCAAGGTAGGATATCATTACAGAAATACCTTATGAACATGACGTCCACTCAGCACATGAACCATTGGATCGCACGCAACAGTCTGAATAAACTCGCTTCGCCGCTTCACTTTTAGCAGTATGTAGTGAGGAGGTCATCTGTGTTTATTCTGTGAATTCCAGCTCTCTTGCTTAGAAATGTTGTTTCTCGAAGCTGACGTGTTGTCTTGATAAATCACCTCACCTTGATCGTCTCCATGCTTGTGATCAAACTGAATACATTAATAATTTCACTGCATTTCCAATTTCAGGTTTGGTGAATTTCAACCAGCGAATTCATATCACATAAAGCATGCCCTCTTAGCTGAACTAAAAAAATGCAGTGAATTAGAGTACTCTGAATAATTAAACATTTTGGATTTATAAGTATTTGTTAAATGTTGAATTCATGTTTTTTTAAAAAGACAGTATGAAGTTGCAGCGTCCGTAGAAATGTTGCATGTTCAAAGTCTAGTGGAGCATAAATTAAAGCAACATGTTGTTCTTTCTTATTTTTCATACGCACACCAACTCATGTTTACTTCTGCTATTTTTAGTCCATTCTTTTTTTTACCAAAACCTTAACGCAAAATGAAACATTTGCACATATTTAGAATAAAATAAATAAATATATATATATATATATATATATATTAATTATTAAAAAAAAACTTTAACAGTTATAACTAATATTAAAATTACTATTAATTAACAATTTTCAGGTTATAGTAATATGAGGTAACTATATGAATTTAACATGGTTTAAGGTTTAGAGTTAGTACCTAGTTATTACCAGTTATTATAATTATTATAGTAAATTGTGACAGTAACGACAATTCTAATGTTACAAAAGCTTTCTATTTTAAATAAATGCTGTTCTTTTGAAGTTTCTATTCATCAAAGAATCCCAGGTGAAAAAAACACAATCACACTTAAATATTAATCAGCACAACTGTTTCCAACATTGATAATAATCAGACAGGTTTCTTGAGCAGTAAATCATCATATTAGAATGATTTCTAAAGGATCATGTGACGTAATGAGTAATGATGCTTTGATCACAGGAATAAATTACACTTTACTATATATTCACATAGAAAACAGCTGTTTTACATTCTAATGATATTTCACAATATTACCTTTTTTTGCAGTATTTTTTATCAAATAAATCTATCTGTCTTCTTTCAAAAACATTAAAAAATATTACCCACTCCAAACATTTGACCAGTAGTGTACACACAGAGCAGACTGTAAGTACACACACATTAACATACCAGCATCATAAACTGTCCCTTTGTTGACGTTGGTTAGGTAATGCTTGACTGGTTTAAACACACACACACACACACACACACACACACACTCACTGATGTGAAACTATCTTTACTCATAGTGATAGGATTAATTGACACACATTTGACTACATAAAGTTTATGTCTCTTGGCTCTCTGAGTCTTTTCTCTGGCACGTTCTGTGGCATTTGTTTGCTGTTTTGCGTGTGTGTGTGTGTGTGTGTGTTTGTGTGTGAATGTCTCTGTTGTAATCTTCTGAAGTTGATCCCTCGGTGTCTCCCAGACTCCATTTTGCACGACACACAGGGAGTGTGTGCGGGTCATACGGAAACACACACTTTAAATACATGCACACACTGATAAATGCTAGCTATACATCAATGGTGAACCTATAAACTTGACATTGAAAAAACAAACTGATCCACCTCTCTCTGCTTCATTTGAATTGTTTTGTTTTAACTATAAAACATAAGTGAATGCTGACTGGTCAATACAACATTCCAGTCATGATACATGATACAGCTAAAACACGCGTTCACAGTCATTAAAGTCGGCATGAAACAATTTGCTATCGTCTTGTCTTCCCTATTGTGCCGTATATCCGAGTGAAGCGGCTTCTCAAACTAGAACAAATGTGGGCGGGGCTTGATTTTGTCTGTGGGGAATTGATTGGATGGTTGTGGTTTGCTATTGGCTGATGTCATGTGAGTGACAGGTTGCTCCGCCCTCGTCATCAGAGAAGAGAAGAGAAGAGAAGAGAAGAGAAGAGAAGAGAAGAGAAGAGAAGAGAAGAGAAGAGAAGAGAAGAGAAGAGATGAACTGTCTATCTCTCTAGTCTGGTATAATTGTAAAAACGTCCACTTTCAGTTCGTGGTTCACATGTCTTTTTGCTGTGACATTTTTACAGATTTGTTTTATAAAGTAAAGGTAAGAATCATTTAATGTAGTTAGTAATATTTCAAGATGAACACTTACTAGGCTGAAGCAGCTTAAGTTTACTTGAATATCCGTATATCATTAGAAAAATCATGTTCAAATGTGAGTATCAAATATGATCATCAGGCTTTGAGGAAGGTTTATTTGTTTTTCTCTCAATCATTGTATTGCATTGCATTATATGTTTTAAAACTACAGAGCTTTGATCATAAAACTAAGCATTTATTTAATTATTGGGAGTGTTTATATGCATTTTATATAAGTAATCTGTTATACTGTTATGAAGATCTCATTGATTTACATTACAATCAGAATTCCATCTTTTATCAGCATCTGCACCAAATTGCTTATTTTTGCTCAATTCGAGCCTCTAAATAAAACTGAGGTGTTTGAGTTTGAGCTTCATATTCTCACTACTGTATATCATAGCCATAAAAGCCATCAAATATAATACTCAACAAGAAACACATATGCATGCCTTTTTAGAAAATGTGTCTAAAGTTTCACTTAACGGTTCCATAAAAAAATATGTTTCTGGCTATTATTTGTATGTATATGTCAGGCTTTACAGGGTTAACCTCGACAGTCTGATTAAATAATGCATCAAGAAAAAGATCTTTGCACATAATCACTTCTGGTTCATTTATCACACTGGAAGAAGGAGGTCAAGTTGAGGGCATTGCATTGTGGGATATAGTATTATGTGCAGTGTGTTCACTGCATCTTTTGGCAGCAGCAGCAGTATGTCATCGTCTCGGTATGCGTACAGTCACCGTTTACAGACTGCACAATGCAGAAGTTAGAAGAGCAGTGTTTTAGCATAGCCAGTGAACATGCTTTATGTTGCTTGAATGAAAAATGGTCATCAGTGTTGGAAATCTTGGTTTATTTTCCGTCTTAAAGAAAGCTTCTGATGTGTTTAGACTCAGAGAGAGTCTGGGAAGTGTGTCATGGAAACAGGAAGGAGATCTTTTTCTCCGGGGAAAGATGAGACCGGCAGAGCAAAGATGGTGTCAGGCGTTTCTCTTTCTCTTTTCACTCTTTTCCTGTAGCATTTTCAGACCACTTCATCAGCCTCTCAGTTGTGTGTGTGTGTGTGTGTGTGTGTGTGTGTGTGTGTGTGTGTGTGTGCTGTTTTGATGTAAAGCCCAAAGTAAAGTATATGCCCTTTCAAACTATACTCAATTTGACGTCTAGGCGCACACAGGTGGACATTACGTGGACATTACGACACCTTGTACTCTGTGGACAGAATGTTTCGTCTCATCATAATAACCCATATACACACTTTTATAATCTTTATAGGCTTGTAGGCTAGAGTTGTACAAATGCGGGAACTTTCGAATCTCCTTGCAAATCTCTCATCCATAGCCATCCATTGTTGTAGCTTGCATGTGTTTCTCTCCGGTCTGTTTATTCCAATTTTTTCTTTGACTAGTTGTGAATCAACGGCCCAGAAGCACTGTTGCCACCTTGTGGACGAACAAATTACTGGAAAAAAAATAATTGAATGCATGTGTATATATGTACGCAGTTAGAACAATCCTAGGGTACGCATAAAAAGTGATGTATACTTAGGGCATTTATTCATTCTCAACACAGTGCCGTAAAGTTCTCTCTCCGCCTGACAAAAAAAGTGTGAGGAAATTTCAAACAGATTTTTGAAGGTCTTGGGAGGATGCAAATGAATTTGATGCATTTGAGTCAAGATAACACAGATGATAACACTGTATAACACTGATAGCTAACATACAAAATGTTATCTTGGCTGGGAGGGCAGGGGAAAATTCTAGTTAAGAAATTATTCTATGACTGAATGAGAAAACTGAAGCTTTAAAGGGATACTCCACTTTTTTTGGAAATAGGCTCATTTTACAACTCCCCCAGAGTTAAACTGTTGAGTTTTACCGTTTTTGAATCCATTCAGCCGATCTCCGGTTCTGGCGGTACCACTTTTAGCATAGCTTAGCATACATCATTGAAGTGGACAAGACCATTAGCATTTCTAAAAAAAAAAATGACCAAAGAGTTTCGATATTTTTCCTATTTAAAACTTGACTCTTCTGTAGTTACATCGTGCACTAAGACCGACGGAAAATGTAAAGTTGCGATTTTCTAGGCTGATATGGCTAGGAACTATACTCTCATTCCTGCGTAATAATCAAGAAACTTCCATGCCGTACCATGAGTGCAGCAGGTGTAATGATATGACGCAGCGCCTGAAAATAGGCCACCTTCCTTCAACACAACGGAACTATTTTCAGGCGCTGCGTCATATCATTACGCCTGCTGCACTCATGGTACGGCAGTGAAGTTTCTTGATTATTACGCACTCGTAATAATCCCACTTGTCCACTTCAATGATGTATGCTAAGCTATGCTAAAAGTGGTACCGCCAGAACCGGAGATCTGCTGAATGGATTCAAAAACGGTTAAACTCTGGGGGAGTTGTAAAATGAGCCTATTTCCAAAAAAAGTGGAGTATCCCTTTAAAATGAATATCATTTAACCAAAGTACCTAGATGGACAAAGATTTTGACTCGTCAGCTGATGATAATAAGGGTTTAAACCATTTAAAATTATTATAATTTTAGTCCCACTTAAAGGGTTAGTTCAACCAAAAACGTTAAATTATCCCATAATTTACTCTCCCTCAAGTCATCCTAGGTGTATATGAGTTTCTTCTTTCAGCCAAACACGATCAGAGTTATATTAAAAAATATCCTGGCTCTTTCAAGCTTTATAATAGGAGTGAATGGTGCCTTAGATTTTGAAGCCCAAAAAAGCGCATCCATCCAGCATAACAGTGATCCACATGTAAGAAAAATATCCATATTTAAAACTTTATAAGCTATAATCACTGGCTTCCGGTAACGGCCTTAGACGAGTCTAGTTCCGGCGGAAGAGTGACCTCTGACCCTACGCATGACGAGTCAGATGTAATCCATCCATCCATTAAATCCATCCATCCACGAGTGACCTCTGACCCAACACATGACGAGTGACCTCTGACCAAACGCATGACGAGTGACCTCTGTCCCGACGCATGACGAGTGACCTCTGACCCGACGCATGACGATTGACCTCTGACCCAACGCTTGACGAGTGACCTCTGACCCAACGCATGACCAGTGACCTCTGACCCAACGCTTGACGAGTGACCTCTGACCCTACGCATGACGAGTCAGATGTAATCCATCCATCCATTAAATCCATCCATTAAATCCATCCATCCACGAGTGACCTCTGACCCAACACATGACGAGTGACCTCTGACCAAACGCATGACGAGTGACCTCTGACCCGACGCATGACGAGTGACCTCTGACCCAACACATGACGAGTGACCTCTGACCCGACGCATGACGAGTGACCTCTGACCCGACGCATGACGAGTGACCTCTGACCCGACGCATGACGAGTGACCTCTGTCTCGACGCATTACGAGTGACCTCTGACCCAACGCATGACGAGTGACCTCTGACACTACGCATGACCAGTCAGATGTAATCCATCCATCCATTAAATCCATCCATTAAATCCATCCATCCACGAGTGACCTCTGACCCAACACATGACGAGTGACCTCTGACCAAACGCATGACGAGTGACCTCTGTCCCGACGCATGACGAGTGACCTCTGACCCGACGCATGACGATTGACCTCTGACCCAACGCATGACGAGTGACATCTGACCCAACACATGACGAGTGACCTCTGACCCGACGCATGACGAGTGACCTCTGTCTCGACGCATTACGAGTGACCTCTGACCCAACGCATGACGAGTGACCTCTGACCCGACGCATGACGAGTGACCTCTGACCCGACGCATGACGAGTGACCTCTGACCCAACACATGACGAGTGACCTCTGACCCGACGCATGACGAGTGACCTCTGACCCAACACATGACGAGTGACATCTGACCCAACACATGACGAGTGACCTCTGACCCGACGCATGACGAGTGACCTCTGACCCAACACATGACGAGTGACCTCTGACCCAACACATGACGAGTGACCTCTGACCCAACACATGACGAGTGACCTCTGTCCCGACGCATGACGAGTTAGATGTCATCCATTCACGAGTGACCTCTGACCAAACACATGACGAGTGACCTCTGACCTAGCGCATGACGAGTGACCTCTGACCCGACGCTTGACGAGTCAGATGTAATCCATCCATTAAATCCATCCATCCATCCACGAGTGACCTCTGACCCAACACATGATGAGTGACCTCTGGCCCGATGCTTGACGAGTGACCTCTGACCCGACGCTTGACGTGTGACCTCTGACCCTACGCATGACGAGTGACCTCTGGCCCGACGCTTGACGAGTCAGATGTAATCCATCCATTAAATCCGTCCATCCATCCACGAGTGACCTCTGACCCGACGCTTGACGAGTCAGATGTAATCCATCCATTAAATCCATCCGTCCATCCACGAGTGACCTCTGACCCAACACATGACGAGTGACCTCTGACCCAACTCATGACGAGTGACCTCTGACCCGACACATGACGAGTGACCTCTGACCCAACGCATGACGAGTGACCTCTGACCCTACGCATAACGAGTCAGATGTAATCCATCCATTAAATCCGTCCATCCATCCACGAGTGGCCTCTAACCCGACGCTTGACGAGTGGCCTCTGACCCGACGTTTGACGAGTGGCCTCTGACCCGATGCTTGACGAGTGGCCTCTGACCCGACGCTTGACGAGTGACCTCTGACCCGATGCTTGACGAGTGGCCTCTGACCCGACGCTTGACGAGTGACCTCTGACCCAATGCTTGACGAGTGGCCTCTGACCCGACGCTTGACGAGTGGCCTCTGACCCGACGCTTGACGAGTGACCTCTGACCCGATGCTTGACGAGTGGCCTCTGACCCGACGCTTGACGAGTGACCTCTGACCCAATGCTTGACGAGTGACCTCTGACCCTACGCATGACGAGTGGCCTCTGAGCCGACGCTTGACGAGTGACCTCTGACCCTACGCATGACGAGTGGCCTCTGAGCCGACGCTTGACGAGTGACCTCTGACCCGACGCTTGACGAGTGACCTCTGACCCGACGCTTGACGAGTGGCCTCTGACCCGACGCTTGACGAGTGACCTCTGACCCGACGCTTGACGAGTGACCTCTGACCCGACGCTTGACGAGTGACCTCTGACCCGACGCATGATGAGTGACCTCTGGCCCGACGCTTGACGAGTCAGATGTAATCCATCCATTAAATCCATCCGTCCATCCACGAGTGACCTCTGACCCAACACATGACGAGTGACCTCTGACCCAACACATGACGAGTGACCTCTGACCTAACGCATGACGAGTGACCTCTGACCCGACGCTTGACGAGTGGCCTCTGACCCGACGCTTGACGAGTGGCCTCTGACCCGACGCTTGACGAGTGACCTCTGACCCAACACATGACGAGTGGCCTCTGACCTAACGCATGACGAGTGACCTCTGACCCAACGCATGATGAGTGACCTCTGACCCTACGCATAACGAGTCAGATGTAATCCATCCATTAAATCCGTCCATCCATCCACGAGTGGCCTCTGACCCGACGTTTGACGAGTGGCCTCTGACCCGACGCTTGACGAGTGGCCTCTGACCCGACGCTTGACGAGTGACCTCTGACCCGACGCTTGACGAGTGACCTCTGACCCGACGCTTGACGAGTGGCCTCTGACCCGACGCTTGACGAGTGGCCTCTGACCCGACGCTTGACGAGTGGCCTCTGACCCGACGTTTGACGAGTGGCCTCTGACCCGACGCTTGACGAGTGACCTCTGACCCGACGCTTGACGAGTGGCCTCTGACCCGACGCTTGACGAGTGACCTCTGACCCGACGCTTGACGAGTGACCTCTGACCCGACGCTTGACGAGTGACCTCTGACCCGACGCTTGACGAGTGACCTCTGACCCGACGCTTGACGAGTGGCCTCTGACCCGACGCTTGACGAGTGGCCTCTGACCCGACGTTTGACGAGTGGCCTCTGACCCGACGCTTGACGAGTGACCTCTGACCCGACGCTTGACGAGTGGCCTCTGACCCGACGCTTGACGAGTGACCTCTGACCCGACGCTTGACGAGTGACCTCTGACCCGACGCTTGACGAGTGACCTCTGACCCGACGCTTGACGAGTGGCCTCTGACCCGACGCTTGACGAGTGGCCTCTGACCCGACGTTTGACGAGTGGCCTCTGACCCGACGCTTGACGAGTGACCTCTGACCCGACGCTTGACGAGTGGCCTCTGACCCGACGCTTGACGAGTGACCTCTGACCCGACGCTTGACGAGTGACCTCTGACCCGACGCTTGACGAGTGACCTCTGACCCGACGCTTGACGAGTGACCTCTGACCCGACGCTTGACGAGTGGCCTCTGACCCGACGCTTGACGAGTGACCTCTGACCCGACGCTTGACGAGTGGCCTCTGACCCGACGCTTGACGAGTGGCCTCTGACCCGACGCTTGACGAGTGGCCTCTAACCCGACGCTTGACAAGTGGCAATCACATGAGCCCAGAATATGACTGCAACAAATTAACTGGTGGAGGGATTTGTTTATAATGCTTTTCAACAGAAAAACACTTTTCGAGAAATTGAGCTTTGCGTCTATATTCTGTGTTCATCTACTCGCCTGTACTTATAATTAATAAGGTGTATATTGAATTTGGTCTTTTACTATGGTGGGTGTTCCTATAAAGGTGTGATGTCACGTGAAAACTATGAATTGTACGACTGATTAGTCCCGTCAGATGTAATTTCTGCATTTTATTTCCAGCAACAGGAGCAGGATCCCACTAACCTATACATCTCTAACCTGCCCGTGTCCATGGACGAGCAGGAGCTGGAGGCCATGCTCAAATCCTTCGGTCAGGTCATTTCCACTCGCATCTTACGGGACGCTAACGGGACCAGCAGAGGAGTCGGCTTCGCTAGGTGCTTAATCCATCACTCCATCCATCCATCTATTAAATCCATCCATACATCTATTAAATCCATCCATACATTAAATCCATCCATCCATCCATCCATCTATTAAATCCATCCATCCATCCATCCATTAAATCCATCCATCCATCCATACATACATACATTAAATCCATCCATCCATCCATCTATTAAATCCATTAAATCCATCTATTAAATCCATTAAATCCATCCATTAAATCCATCCATCCATTAAATCCATCCATCCATCCATTAAATCCATCCATCCAGTAAATCCATCCATCCATCCATTAAATCCATCCATCCAGTAAATCCATCCATCCATCCATTAAATCCATCCATTAAATCCATCCATCCATTAAATCCATCCATCCATCCATTAAATTCATCCATCCATAATATTTCATTCAGGGATATTCCTACCTTTACCATCTTTTATGTGTGAAATACATATGTTCGAACATAAAAATAAAGCTGATAAATGAATTTCACAACTTTTCCCACCATTTATTAGTCTATCCATGTCTTTGTATATCAGGATGGAATCTACAGAGAAGTGTGAAGCCATCATTCAGCATTTTAATGGAAAATATATCAAAACCCCACCAGGAGTGCCAGGTAGACAATATATATTTTATTTATTTGATATAAATTCCAATTAAAGAAAATTTAAAACTAATATTTTGGTTTCTGGTCGCTTCGACTGTAGTACCTTCAGAACCGTTGTTATGCAAGTTTGCTGACGGAGGACAAAAGAAGCGACAGAACCAGACAAAGTACCTACAGAACGGTCGACCCTGGCATAGAGACGGTGATACGGTACGAGCGAACATTTATGTATTGGTATTTATATTTACATATGCGAGTATTCATACAGACCCTGTGCATTTGATGTAAAGTTAATCATATTCATTTCCACGTTCAGGGAGGAATGACGCTCACATACGACCCAACAGCCTTACAGAACGGGTGAGAACAGACACTCAAAGCCTGTTTCAATGCATCGGCCATTTACTCTGTATATTAAAAATGCTTGTTTATTTGCCTATATATCATCACAATATTACTGCTTTTTAACTGAACATCTAACTTAAGTGCTGGTGTTTAAGCTTGATTGTTTTTGCTGATTATTTTCAGGTTTTATTCTTCTCCGTACAGCATCGCTCCAAACAGAATGATCGCTCAGACATCTCTGTCTCCATACATGCAATCACAATTACCGTCCTACCAGGTGAGCGTCATTAAAGAGGACCGATTATGCTTTTTTCCTTGTTCATCTCTCTTTAGTGTGTAATGTTGCTGTTTGAGCATTTAAAAGCTCTGCAAAGTTCTTAAAGTCCCCCTGTAGGCAATCATTTTATCCCTTAAAAATCATCTTTGATCACCAAAATGACATATTTAAATGTTTTTTCATTTAAAAAATATTCGTCATGCCTATCTTGAATGTAACTCGACACCCTTGCCTCATTTAGTATGTGCGGTTCTATGAATATGCAAATGAGCCCCGCCTCCACTCACTCACTCAGCTCAGAGATCCTCTGGTTGACAATCCCACGTTGATCTGATTGGTTACAAGGTCGTTTGTGACGTCAGAAACACCAGCGATTTCAAACCGTGTTTTTGAGACTGTCTTTGGTTCACTGCAGTTTTAAGCAGAAAATACTCAGCAATGCTGTGGACTTTATGAATTTACACATGGTTTGTCTTAAAGCATATTAAAAACACCACATAGACACATAAACAACATTAAAAGCTGGATTTTCACCACAATGGGACTTTAAGTCCCTCCAGCGGGAGTTCTTCTCTATATCAGTGTCAGTGTTTCTGAACTCCCTGAAACGTCTTGAGCTTCTTCCGGGAACGAACACGTCACAATATTCCTCATTTAAATAATTCATACGCAGAATAAAGGGGCGGGGCCTGGTTGAGTTAGTTAGTAGTGAGTTGAAAATGGCGGTTATGGAAAGAGGCGGGACATTTCCCAAACACACTCGAATCGCTCGACCAATCACAACATACTGCTCCAGCCGACCAATCAGAGCACAGTGTGCTTTTCAGAAGGAGGAGCTTCATAGAGACAGGAACTAAACAGAGCGTTACTGACAGACTGGGAAGAGAGGAGCTGCAACAATGGAGAATATGAGGAAAATAATCAACATTCAAGCGGGAAAACCTGTTCTAGTAGAGCCTAAAAACAACATCAAGACTTTGTAAAATGGCATAAGAGGTGCTGTTTCAACATACTTAAACATCAGTTCTCTGTACACATACTCACACAAATATTATAGAGGAAAAAAGTTTTTTGTGCAATATTAATCAAATCACATTAACACACTTTTACTGATTTACTGATGATGCTTTCCTACAGCAACGTCTTCTGTTAACTTACTCGTTCACTCAGTGGTCTTACTCTTCCATGTCTGAGCAGACCTTCATTTCTGATCACATTTCTGAATGTCAATCCAGATTAGATTTTTTCATTTTGTAGAGATACTGAGCTCAGTCTGAGCGTGTGCCAAAGCCGACAGCAGCCAGATGGAAACTCACAGTGACTCAGCAAGCGTTGAGGAGAATATCAGACCGCAGGGGCTTGTGGGAATTCTGACACCTTATTGAGTCCTGATGGATGAACAGGCAAAAGCTAATACTGTTCGCTGAGGTCCTGTAGGTCTGACATGTGTGTTTAAAGCACACTGAATGGCCCTTTAGACAGAGAAATGATGCTACAGCTCAGTCTGCTAGCATTTAAGGACGGCTGGTGGGTTTTAAAATAAAGAGGCATATAAAATTTGAGCGGTCGAATCCCCTCCCAAGGATTTAATTTGACTGCTTTAAAATTGCTTTTTTGGTCACTTTTAGGCAGAAAATTTACAGAAAACGACACATATACAGCAAGACAATAACAAAATAATTTATGTAATTTACGTCTCGTCGATGATTGGTTGATATACAACGGAGGTATAGCCTCTGGCAAATTCGCTGCCATATACAGTGAAATACTCGATGGTGATTGGCTATTTTTTATTTTCTTATCAATGGAGGCACAAATCTCCAGCTAAATATTAAAGGAATAGCAGACCCAAACATTTAAATCATCATCATTCATTGCATCCTTTTTTTGTGTCACATTTATAAAAGTTTTGTGTCTTAAGTTTTTTTTTTTTTTTTTTCATAATGTTTTCAAAAGAAGTCGCTTCTGCTCACCAAAGCTGCATTTATTTGATCAGAAATACAGTAAGAAATAATTTTGAAATATCATTACAATTTAAAACAGCTGTTTTCTATGTGAATATATAGTATAGTAAAGTGTAATTTATTCCTGTGATCAAAGCTGAATGTTCATGTCACATGATCCTTCAGAAATCATTCTAATATGATGACATTTGTGCCGTTTTTGCTGCTTAATATTTTTTATGGAAACCGTGGAACACTACCATTAAAACATGTGTTTATTGTCAAAAGTGACAGTGAAGACCTTCATAATGTTACAAAAGATTTCTTTTTCAAATAAATGCTGTTTATTGAACTTTATATTCCTGAATCCTGAAAAACATTTATCATTTTTAAGTTGATTAAAAAAAATTAAGCAGCAAAACTTAAAAAAAATTGTAATAATAATAATAAGAACCATTAATTATAATTGAGCAATTATTGATGATAACTGAGCAGTAATTGTTTTTTTCTGAGCATCAAATCATAATATTAGAGTGATTTCTGAAGGATCATGTGACACTGAAGACTGGAGTAATGATGCTGAAAATTCAGCTTTGATCACAGGAATACATTACAGTTTAACATATATTCACATAGAAAACATTTGTTTAAAATTGTAATCATATTTCACTATTTTTACTGTATTTTGATCAAATAAATGCAGCCTTGGTGAGCAGAAGAGACTTCTTTCAAAAACATGAAAATTCTTAATTATTTCAAACTTTTGTAGCCTATGTATGTGCATAAAGGCTATTTTTAGATGCAAACCCCTGTCCCAGTCACGAATGGTACCATCTGGCATTAAATGAGCAGCATATGAATCCAGATGCACTGTGGGAGATAGCTCATTAATATTGGCTGGTATGGTGCATTTGAATTCAGGCCCAGTATTCCCAGTGCCTGCTGTGTGATTCTGTGAGTCTGAAGTGTTGAGAGGTACAGGGCAGTTTGCATGGGACAGGTTCCGTCGGAGAAATGATATATCCATGTTGTTTGTGTCTGGATCCACAGATGCACAGCCCGTCCTGGATGCATCATCAGTCGTACCTCATGCAGCCCGCAGTGAGTGTCACTTATGCTGTACTGTAGCTTTACACGCATCTTCTCTGTTTATAACATCTCTCTCTGTGCGTAGGGGACCGTTCTGACTCAAGCTATGGATCACCCGATGTCCCTTCAGCCCACGTCTATGATGGGACCCCTGACCCAGCAGCTGGGTCACCTGTCTCTCGGCAGCGCCGGCACGGTTCGCTCTTTCACCTTTCATTGATCCTCAACAGGAGTTTGTCTTTAGGGGCTTTCTCAACTAGAACTATTGGTTAGACTTTATTTGAAGGGGTGTGCATAAGACTGACATAACACCTTCATAATGACATGACACGTCATGAATATGAAGGAGGTTTTATGCATGTTTATGACAACTGTCATTAAGTGTCATTCGCTCAATTATAACATTTTTAATGCAAAAATGACATTGTTTGAGATGTCTTTGTTATGACAACTTGACATTACCAAGACAACATAAATTGTCATAAATAGGTCATAAACATGACATAGCAGATTAATTATCAAACTTAAGAAAGCACTTAGTTTTATGGGTTAACATTACATTAAACTGCCAGGTGGTTGGTTTTGACATTGGCTTTGGTATTGGTTTATGTCAAGGTGTCATAACAAAGACATCTCAAACAATGTCATATTTGAATTAAAAATGTCATAATTAAGCAAATAACACTTAATGACAGTTGTCATAAATATGCATATAACCTCCTTCATTTTCATGACATGTTTCATGTCATGATTATGAAGGTGTCATGTCAGTCTTATGCACACCCCTTCAAGTAAAGTGTTACCGAACTTTTTAACTATTGGCGGAAGTTCCCGGATTTTGCCGTGTTTGTTCACACCACAGGAACAGGGAACGATTTTAGTTCTAGAAATGCCTTTTGGAGGAACTAATTTAGCTCCTTCTTCAGAGTCGGGGCTAACCCAGGACTATAGGAACTACCAGTGACGTTAGTGTTCGCTGATTGGCCGAATGCATGCGAAACACCAGCATTTTTTAAAAAGCAGTGTAAACACACAGATTATAGCAGCCTATATATTTACTCCAGAAAATTACTCTACGAAAACAGTGATAGACGGGCCTCTTAACATTTACGCTGAGGAGAAAATCCAAAGCGACTCTGAGGGGACCAAGAGAAACATAATTATGTATTTGTGCTCAGCTAGTGACATTGAGCATCAACCACACGGCATACGCTAATACCTTTTCATTACTGTCTTTCTGTATAACAGTTCTATCTAATACATCAGACAGGACTATTAAACAGATCGTAAACTAATGAACATGGAGAATGCGAGCGCTATGAGCTCAGGTTCTTGCGTTCTTAGCGCTGTCAAAATGAAAGTCACAAAAACTGTAGCGAATGCAACCAGGAAAATGTTCCTATGGGAATCTTTAGTTCTCAGGGAACCACCCTTCAGAACTACCTAGGAACGAAAGCCCCTTTTGTTTTAAAATCTAATTACTATTAAAGTGCCCCTATTAAGATTTTTGGGATATTCCCTTTCATGGAGTGTGTAATAGAGCTGTTTGTGACTGTAAAAGATCTGCAAAGTTTCACAGATCAGAGTGCAGATAAATGGAGTTTTTGTCTCCCGAAAGAAAGAAGTGATTCTGAACTGAAACGAGTCGTCAGTATTTCCAGTCTCACTTCCTGCTGAATCTGCGCAGGTTTGTAACAGATTTGCATAATGCCAGTCTATGTTCTTCATCGGCTGCCGTGAACAACGTCTACTTTGACCCTCAAACACTGTAGTTGTATCTGAGACTGGAAGAGTTTGGCTCGTGTTGTTCATGTGGAGAAGACGCTGTTTTCTGCTGACAAAGCAAATCCACTTTGATGAGATTGAAACGGTAAAACCGACGCCATCGTCACTGTTCGTATCACTGAGTATCAAGAGCTGAGGAAGATCCAGAGCTGAAACTCAGATATGATAATGAGCGTTTTGTTTCCAACACGATGACCAATCACAAAAGACTGGGCCATCTGACCAATCAGAGCAGAGCAGCTCTCAGAGAGGCGGGGTTTAGAGAGACTGAATCCTTGATGAACCGTTTCAAACACTGAGAGAAAAGAGCTGATGCTGCAATGGATATTATGAGGAAATTAAAGTGTTTTCTGAGCTTGTATGCGTGTAAACCTGTTGTAGGAGACGCCAGAACAACATTAGGAATCTTTAAAATAGCATAATAGGGGCACTTTAAAATGCAATGGAACGTTTTTAACCGTTGATTTTATTTATGTTGTCTACAGTATATTCCTAACACAGCTATGCAAGGAACGTACATCCCTCAGTACACCCCAGTGCCTCCCTCTAGTGTTACATTAGAGGTACGACAACCGTTCATCACACACACTGCTTTACATGATGAACTGCTTCATTACTTACATTTGATTCATTCTAATTCTGTGTGATGTAGGAAAACAGTGGACAACAGCAGCAGGTTTCCATGGAGACGCCTTCGGAACACACTAATTATTCCTATCAGCACAGCAAATGAAGCTATGGTAATACAACACGTAAAAGATGGGAAACATTCAGTGTGCTAGCTATCAAATGGCTGGTTTGGCACTGCGGCTTATATTTTTATGTTGGCTTGATAAAACTTTCAAACATGAACTCTTATAGAGTATTTAACTATCTTTTATCACTAGCCAAGCTTAGCAACTAGCCTAGGACATGCCAACACACCATGGTAAATCATGCTAGCAATGTGCTAATGCATGTTAGAAACATGTTACCAATGTGTCAAATCATGTTGGCAACAAACATGTTTAAAAACATGCAAGCAATGTGTAAAAAAAATGCTAGCAATGTGTTAGCAGTGTGTTAAATCATAGCAACATGCTAAGACATGTTAGGAATGTGCTGATTAATGCTAGAAACATGCTAGAAACACGTTAAAACATTCTAGCAATGTGTTAAATAATACTAGAAACATGCTATCAATGTGCTGAATCATGTCGGCAGCATGTTAAAACATTCTAGCAAGTGCTAATTCATGTTAGAAACATTCCAACACCATGATAAATCATACTAGCAACATGTTAACAATGTGCTAAGTTGTGCTAGCTATGTGCCAAATCATGTTAACAGTGTTAAAACATGATAGCAAAACACTTGTAAACATGTTAACTTGTAAATTTATGCTAGCAATGTGCTAAAACATGCTAGCAATGTGTTTATTCTTGATAAAAAAATGATAACATTGTGATAAATCATGTTAGCAACATGATAAAACATGTTAGCAATGTGCTAATTCATCCTAGAAACATACTAACAACATGTTAAATCATGCTAGCAACATGTTAAAAATGCTAGCAACATACCAGCAATGTGTTAAATGTTAGCAACATACGTGTAATGTGTTGGAACATGCTAGCAACTTGGTAAAACGTTAGAAATATGTTAAAACATGCTAAAACAGCAAGGTTTAAAACATGTTAGAAACATGTTAGCAATGAGTTAATAGAAAATTGGCAAATCTGAATTACAGTTTTTACAAGGCACTATACATAATCTCTCTCTCTCTCTCTCTCTCTCTCTCTCTCTCTCTCTCTCTCTCTCTCTCTCTCTCTCTCTCTCTCTCTCTCTCTCTCTCTCTCTCTGCAGGTGCTCTACAGTTCTGTGGACAATGGAAATCTCTCTGTGAGATTTGCAGATTTCCACAGAAGAGTAGCAGAGGGGATACGGATGACAAAAGAAGCTTGTATCTTTTGTAGAACAGAGTCCGAGAAGGACGTCACTCATCTTTTGTTCAACCCCTCTCTTCAGGTGTCACTCAGCCAACAGTGGGAGTCTGTGCAAAAGAGCTATCCCTTCATCTATTTTGATAACAAAACAGAAAAAGCATAAAAAAACAAAGATAATTTAGAAAAGGCTAAGGAAAACACAATGTGTTCTTTTATGCACGTAATGGCAAATTCTTATTTTTAAGAACTAATTCTTTAATATGGGAGGATGAGAAAAGAGAAACTAAAAACATGTCTTTTATTTTCTTTGTAAAATATGCAACTTTTTTTCTTTCGATTTGTTCCTTTTTTTCTTCCGTCAGCAGCAGTAAGATATTTTTGTACAGATTAAGATGCAAACAGTGCATTTTTGTCCTATTTTTAAGTTTGTCGTGTGATGTTCTGCTGAAGAAACCATTTAAAGCCACTTCTTCATGTCGTACCATTTTAAGAATCTATAAAGAAATAGTGATAAAATCACTCTAATTCGATCATCACTTCTCCGAAAGCATCAGACAATCATTAAATTATTATTTATTGAAAAAATTATCTTTTTTTGGTACATACCAGGGCAATACAGATTTGTCTTTCAAGTTCATATGAACTATTAGATGCAGAAATAGATCGAATATCTGATATTGTGAGATTATCCGGATATTTTTGATGCGCTTCAGCCGTTAAAGCTTTTTTAAACACAGTAATGGAAATGAACCAGATTTTTGTAGAAATGTGTTTTATGAGGGGCATTTTAAATCTAATGATTACCTGTGAAACAGTTTGTGCCTAACATTACAGTGTTCAGGATCAATTCATTTTTATTTAAAATATGAAAATGTAAAAAGTATAATTAATCATTTCTGTCTCCTCCCTTCATACTTTAGCTAAAATGTACATTTTTGGTGTATGTATTGCCACCAAATATTTCAGGTTTCCAAAAGCGTTGGAAATATGCATTGTAATGTACATAGTGTTTCATAAATATTACTTTTATTGGCTTACAGTACAAAGGTCTAGAGGAAGTGACATTAAGTGGTTTGTTAGTATCCAAAATATTTCATAAAGTGATGATAACATATTGACTTGATGAAGCTTCTCAATACAGGACCATCATAAATCAGCAATCTTTCTTCATGCTGTAATAGAGCATACAGCAGATATGTAATCAAACTCACCTGTCATTTAGACTTGAAGGAAAGATTCCCTGTTATGTTTACTGGTATGAATCTATTAAACACTTGCAGTGGGGCAAAATAACAAAGACAGGGGAAGAAACTCAAGGCATTTGTTATGCCGTTTTATTCAGTATTTTTGTCTCGTTTTCACTATACCTAAACGTACTAAAAGGAGACTCAGTCATGATTTATGATTTATGCTGGCCGATATGGCAGACATCTTGGACTTGTGTAGTGATGGGCGAAACACAGCTTCGTGAAGATTCAAAACCTTTGTGAATCATTTGTTTCGGACCAGTGATTCGGAACGCGTATCAAGTCATGTGATTCCAGTCAACAAGGCTTCGTTACATCACAACCGTCTAGAAATGTTTCTAAATTTCTATGGACCAACTTCAACATTTAAAAATAAGAATTGTAGTTAATAGTCACTTATTGGTCTGATTAACCAAGTTCTTAAACACATTTTATAAAATAGCACATATTATAAAGGCACTTCATATTCAATCGTGTTCGATATTTTGATAATTGCATTTAATAGATCATACTTTCAATAAAACATTTGCAATTGGTTTTTAAAAGTTTGTATGCACGTTTTGGCCGAGTTTTCGCTGTTCTGACCAGCAGGGGTCTCCAGTGTGTGGCGTTTCGAGCGATTCAAGCCAGTGAATCATTTTGTGAATCAATTGGTTCAGTTGATTCAAAGTTTAGAAAAGCTTTGTTTCTCCCGTCATGTGATCTTAAATTGTTGGCCTAATTGAGTCAACCTACTTACTGTATAAGAAAAACAGCGTAATTTTTATCCGAAAGTAATATTAATTTCTTTAGTCGTCCTTTTTTGACGTTTATTTTTACTATGCCGAATATATATATATTAAAACCAGGGCTTGACATTAACTTTTTTGCTCACCAGCCCCTGTGGCTAGTGGTTTTCCAAAGTTACGAGCCTCTCAGCATTTTCACTGGCCACAATCTTGACATGGGGGGAAAACTGCCATATAGATATTTTTAATATTATCTCATAATTTGGCATCAGGAATATTAGGCTGCTGTCACTTTAAGACCTGCCACGTTACACATGGCTTTATTTCTCAACTGCTTACTTTCACTTAAAACCTAACTGACTGTTTACCCGTGAACACTCGCCAAGACCAGCATTTTGACATTATTGTGTGTGTATTTGACTGTTTAAGCGCAACAAGCGGTGAAAAAGAACTCGGTTTAGTTCTGAGTGGCGGCTTTATGTGCTGGTTTGATCTCAAAACCTGCGGGAATGAGTCAAATTATGCACAATATGTGCAATCCCACGCTGTAATTCAAGCCCTGTAACACCAACAATGTTCATCCGGAGAAAATGAAACGAGGCGGGTTTGTGTGTAATTCGCTGAGAGAGAGAGAGAGAGAGAGAGAGAGAGAGAGAGAGAGAGAGAGAGAGAGAGAGAGAGAGAGAGAGAGAGAGAGAGAGAGAGAGAGAGAGAGAGAGAGAGAGAGAGAGAGAGGGTATCGTGTGTCTGTTCTGCGGAAAGTGAGTATTGGAAGTGTTTCAGATATTTCAGCAACACTACACTGCACTTAGTTAATTATTTCAGATGCCTTTTTAAAAGACTACAACTGAAAAATGTAAATATTTAGTGTAATATTCAACCCGCCAAAGTGGCTATTAGTGACGCCGCTGTTGAAATACACACGCATTCGGAGAGTCGCGGATGTTAATGTCGAGCCCTGATTATAACACTATTGGTAAGAAAAATACACATGGTTCCAGATGTATTCTCTGAAAGCAAGTCTTACTCTTGCACACGTTTGTGCCTCAGTTTAGATATATCTTCATTGGAAACAAGACCCCGTTTGGTGGTCGTGGCTTCATCAGGTCGAGTGTTATCATGGCTTTGGTAGTGTGTAGAAAGCCTTCGCTGGTGCTGGGGTTACTCATGAACAGCAGGAACAGCCAGGATTCGGATGAAGAAGGACAGAAGCAGTTCTTCAGCGCCGTTCTTCCTTCATGCTGCTGGTCTTACCGTCCGACTGAGATTCGCTGTAGATGATGAGGATTCCTCCTTTCTAAATCCCTGATTCATAGGATTTTCGGGGAATTTGTTCGTGTGCAAATGAAAAAGGTTTTCTCGAGTTGCTTTCACGTTCTTCGTGTCTTTCTCCGTGCGGTTTGTTGTTGTACTTGAAATGTACTGTCCTGGTCAATCATGATGCACTTCTAAAAGAGTCTGAATATCCGAAATGAAAGCTTTGATGTCATTGATAATCTAAAAATAGTGTATATTTACTCATGGTTCCACATGAGTTGTTTTTGTACCTTGTACCTTTTTTGTGTGGCTCTTCTATAGGATATAAACACAAGGGCTACTCTCACACTAAAGGCCTCGTGATGCAGCTGTTACTTCTTCTTCTTCTTCTTCTTCTTCTTGGTGCTTCTACATTTCATGAATGTAAAGCCATGAACTTGATCTGAAAACTGCTCAATGGTTTTCACCAAGAGACTCTTTTACTTAAAAAATATCTTGTAGCTACTAGGATAGTTTGAAATTATATTCAAAGAACGTTGTGTTACTGAAATGGATCTATACCTCTTACAGTTTACTGAGATTCACACGATTGGCAGTGACTGAAAACTTCAGGCCGCCCAAAGAATTGATTCATTCCTGCAACCAAAGATATCAATGCCACCAAGAAATCAACATGCCTTTACAGTTTAAAAACAGTTTCTTACTGAAAATATTTGAAAAGCCCTAAATCCATATGAATGATGATGGAGACGACGAGATTTGAAATAGCATGAGTTAGTTGGTTACGGCAATGATCAAGTGTTTTTCACCTTTCTTTTTTTTCTTTGCCTACTTTGTCAATGTGATTTTATTGTTGATGTTTTGACAACGCTATGTCTAAAGATATTTCTCAAATGATACCATGCACCTCATGAAGGAACACATGATTTATTTTTGGTTATTAAGCTTGCTAAATCATATCATCCATTACAAATACAAAACATGAAACACGCTTTTGAAACTTTGAAATGATAACAATTCAAATCTAAATTCTTATATTTTTCTCAGCAACTGGGATGATACCGAATCACTTCAATTTGCATGATTTAATTCCATCGATTTCCAACGAATAGCTGCTTATGTTTTGAATAGCTCGTTTCATAGTTTCAAAATGTATTGCTGCTAACATGGGGTGTTGAAGCTGTTCACCAGAGAGCCACACACACACACACACACACACACACACACAGCAGAAGCATCGCCAGCTGTGTGTAGAGTTCAGAGTTTGGGTCTAGATCCACAGAAACAGCTCGTCATATAGCCATACGTATGGTCGTGATGTGATTATTGAACAAACGGCTCGTCTCTTGAACAGCTTTTTTTTAAACATATTCTTTATTTATACAGTCACACATGTTGTACAGAGAGCTGAAGAAACAGTTTGATGGTTTGTCTGCATGTAAACCAGAGTTTCTAGCCGGTAAATTGTCTTCCTGTGCCACAGTTTCTGATATTCTGTTACTGTTTTTTTTTGTTTTGATGAAAAAAAAAAAAAGCATCTTCTGTTTGTTTTTACTTTGTTGTTTTTTTTAAACTGATCTCCTGAATTTCTTTTTTAAAATAAAATCTTGTTTGTATTTTGTTGGGTTTTTTTTATTCATTCACAGCATTTTCACCTACTGTAATAACATCAGCTTTAGTTTGTTTATTTTATTTAGGTTGATTTTTTTTTATGAATTGTGAGGAATCATATGCTCTTTTAATTTTCATTGAACTCTATAATTATGTATTTATCATTACGTTTCCACAGTCTAAATACGACATATAGACTAGTGGTGTCAAATCAAATAATCGCATCTAACATAAGTTTTTGTTTATGTGTGTGTGTGTGTGTGTGTGTGTGTGTGTCTTGTCTGTCTGTGTGTGTGTCTGTCTGTCTGTCTGTCTGTCTGTGTGTGTGTGTGTGTGTGTGTGTGTGTGTGTGAGAGAGACTTCTATGGCCACAGTTGTTTAAACTCAAGCTCCTAGGCATGAAGACACTTCTACAAAGAAGATGTCGCTCTCAGGAGCTCAGTGAACTCAAGCGTGGTACCGTGATCGGTTTCCACCTGTGTAATAAATCCATTCGTGAAATTTCCTCACTTCTAAATATTCCTCCGTCAACTGTTAGTGGTATTATAACAAAGTGGAAGCAATTGGGAACAACAGCAACTACAGGCCACGTAAACCCACAGAGCGGAGTCGGCGCATGCTGAGGAACATAGCATCAATGACATAGAGTCAATAGCTACAGACCTCCAAACTTCGTGTGGCCTTCAGATTAGCTCAAGAACAGTGCGTAGAGCTTCATGGAATGGGTTTCCAAGCCTTACATCACAAGTGCAATGCAAAGCAGTGGTGTAAAGCAACCGGCCCCTGGACTCTAGAGCAGTGGAGACCTGTTCTCTGGAGGGACGAATCACGCTTCTCGGTATGTTTTATTAACAAAGTTCGGGAGGAGCACGTTCAGATAATTAACACGGGTGGAGAGCACTCAACAATCAATGATAAGAGGTGTATATATAGACTCAGCAGTCTCACCTCAATCTATTGACAGTTTAGCAGCACCCCTCCACCGCCCCTTCTCCACACTTCTAGTCCTAACTACTTGCATAGGGGAGAGTACTCTGGGTTCGGGCCGAACTCCGAGCTCGGAGCCCTCTCCCCGGACAGCACGCCAAATACGCATTAAACTTTACCCCCTCTAATTGTATGTAAGTGTGAACTCATGAACTGGCAATCCGATGGACGAGTCTGGGTTTGGCGGTTGTCAGGCGAACTGTACTTGCCTGACTGCATTGTGCCAAGTGTAAAGTTTGGTGGAGGGGGGATTATGGTGTGGGGTTGTTTGGTGGAGGGGGGATTATGGTGTGGGGTTGTTTGGTGGAGGGGGGATTATGGTGTGGGGTTGTTTGGTGGAGGGGGGATTATGGTGTGGGGTTGTTTGGTGGAGGGGGGATTATGGTGTGGGGTTGTTTGGTGTAGGGGGGATTATGGTGTGGGGTTGTTTGGTGTAGGGGGGATTATGGTGTGGGGTTGTTTGGTGGAGGGGGGATTATGGTGAGGGGTTGTTTGGTGGAGGGGGGATTATGGTGTGGGGTTGTTTGGTGGAGGGATTATGGTGTGGGGTTGTTTGGTGGAGGGGGGATTATGGTGCGGGGTTGTTTGGTGGAGGGGGGATTATGGTGCGGGGTTGTTTGGTGGAGGGGGGATTATGTTGAGGGGTTGTTTGGTGGAGGGGGGATTATGGTGCGGGGTTGTTTGGTGGAGGGGGGATTATGGTGTGGGGTTGTTTGGTGGAGGGGGGATTATGGTGTGGGGTTGTTTGGTGGAGGGGGGATTATGGTGTGGGGTTGTTTGGTGGAGGGGGGGTTATGGTGTGGGGTTGTTTGGTGGAGGGGGGATAATGGTGCGGGGTTGTTTGGTGGAGGGGGGGTTATGGTGTGGGGTTGTTTGGTGGAGGGGGGATTATGGTGTGGGGTTGTTTGGTGGAGGGGGGATTATGGTGCGGGGTTGTTTGGTGGAGGGGGGATTATGGTGTGGGGTTGGGGTTGTTTGGTGGAGGGGGGATTATGGTGCGGGGTTGTTTGGTGGAGGGGGGATTATGGTGCGGGGTTGTTTGGTGGAGGGGGGGTTATGGTGTGGGGTTGTTTGGTGGAGAGGGGATTATGGTGCGGGGTTGTTTGGTGGAGGGGGGATTATGGTGTGGGGTTGTTTTTCAGGGGTTGAGTTTGGCCCCTTAGTTCCAGTGAAATTAACTCTTAATGCTTCAGCATACCAAGACATTTTGGACAATTGACCTATGGCTAAGCCACGCCCCCTCCACTCACTCGGACAGTCAACATTCGGTGACAGGCGCTATGGCAGCTGTCACAGTAGGAGACATTTCACAGGAGGCAATTGATGATTTTTGGAGACAGAAATATTTTATATCATCTCGAAGTCACCACAAGGGCCTTAACTATTCATTGGAGGGTTATATTAATAATTTTATTGTTGAGAAGGTCGATGAAAAGCTTCAGCTCCAGGCAAAAATGTAGCCTACAGGTCACAGTGTAAACGTAATAAACCGCATCTCGTTGCCCTCACCATCTCAGACAACAAGATAGAGGATCAGCATTGTTCATTCACTGCATTATTTACATGAATCATTCAGCACAACATTGCTAACATTTGTTATCTCGGTTATTTAAAGATACGTTAATGAAGCTAAGTGACATGTACAACGCAGCTGCTAACGTCAACGTTTTCTAACGTTTGCCTAATGTTACGTTAGAGATGTTAAAGATAACGTTCAAATACGTTGTTGACTTAGAACAGATGTAGACATCCTTGTTTAATTTATCCACGTTTAGTTGGTGTTGTGGTCTACCGCATAACTTAGACACCGGCAGACACTTATCTCGGTTGAGATGTGGCTTGGGAAAGGGTAAGAAATACACACCGTCGCCTAGCCTCTCGGGATACCTAGTGTCGAAGTTGCATGTACCCCATGCACACCGTTTGACCATTTTAAACTTAAAATGACATGAAAAAACATATAAAAACGAATGAAAACGGACTAACTGCAATGCATTTCAATGGATGTGGAAGCAGAGAATGTCCGAGTGTATAGGGTTAGCTATGCGCACTGTGATTGGCTCATCGCGTTTGGGGGCGTGGCTTAGCCATAGGTCAATTTCATGCTCCCAACTTTGTAGGAACAGTTTGGGGATGTTCCTGTTCCAACATGACTGTGCACCAGTACACAAAGCAGGTCCACAAAGATATGGATGAGTGAGTTTGGTGTGGAGGAACGTGACTGGCCCGCACAGGGCCTTGGCCTCACCCCGAGAGAACACCTTTGGGGTGAATTAGAGCGGAGACTGCGAGCCAGGCCTTTGACTGTGTTCATTCTTCTTCTTTTCTCTGTTCTTTCTAGTCTTCTCATACCCGTTAGCAACACAAGACAACTTGCCAATTTACTAAGTATTAAGCAATACTTCAAAAGCTCTAATCGAGAAACTTATGTTAGGATTAGCTCAAAAATAAATCACTGTATATATATCATGCCTCCCTGATGCCACAGTTTAATATCTACTTATCAAGTACATTCATAGACAAAAATATAAAGTGCTTATTGAAGACAGATGGGTCATATGCAAGCAGAAGTGCTGCAGTACATTATGGGTATCCAGAAATGATGGACTGTCAAATACAGAACAACATATGTGTGCAAGTTACAGAAATACAATGCATTATGAAAAATTACATGCAATACACAATGACAGATTGTGATAAATTAGATTTCCAAATTATGTTCAGTCATTGTTTGTTTTGCACTGTTTGTTGACACGCAACATTTATACAAAAAAAATGATTAAACAGTATTAAATAATAGAGCTTAATATAAACTCTGCATTTGAACTTTCTGAACCAGCTGAGTGAAACTGTTATTAACACACAGACTAACATCATCTGCCAGAAGCAAAAAGGCTTTTTTCTTCATTTTTGTGGCCAAGATACAAACCCACATTGGATGTACATTTTTAATCTTAATTTGAATTTGTTTTATTCATTTAAATTGTATTCAAATTAAACAGTCTCAGTCATATTAAAAGTTTTAGATTTTGACCTTTGAATAAGTTAACACACAAAGCACATATTCACATTACCTGAGAAAACACTTTTACAGTGTTGATTTTCCTTAAACCTAACGAAACATAAAAGGCCACATACATTGGGTTTGCAGAACAGTTGGGAACATTCATATTGTATGTGATGGCGAATATTACTACACAACCGTGGCTCATTCTCGACCATTGCCAAACAACTGCAGCAGGAACGTGAACAAGTACACGACATCCAGGTAGAGACTCAGAGTGGCAAAGATATACTCTTCAGGACTCATGGCGTATTGCTTGTTCCCCATCAGCATCTGCAAATCGAAGGCTAGAAACTGAGACAGAAGAGACAGAGACTCAGGTCAGTCCACATTATATCACCTTAATCACATAGTAAATCCTCATTATTTTAAACCATAATCCTTTCTTGACTAATCTGCTTCTCACCATGGTAAACACCACAGCTCCTATGCTGGCATAGACCGCATGTAACCAAGGGACCTTTTGAAAGAGAAACAGAATCTAATCTAGGACAGATAATGCTTTCGTACAGATTTGGACTGGTATTATTAGCCAGAATCTAAAGATACAGTCCTGAACAACACATTACAATCAACATGCATTATGTACACATTTCTTTGGATGTAATGAGTGAAGTAACACATTACTTTATAAATGTAACACATTAATATTGAAGTTACTTTTCAGTTTAAATAATTTGCTAAAACGTTTTTTAAATTACTGAATTAAAATTCTCCTCCGTAATATAGTCACTTAGTTAAGTTAGACGTGCACTCGTGAATGGGAACCAGTGTTGAGCGTGACACATTACAAGGAACATGAGTTAACAATTAATGCATTACTTTTAAATTTGCAACAAAATATTTTTGTCTAATTTTACTTACTTTTTTAAATAAGTAACACAAGTTACTTTGTTTTCCCTTGTATTGACTGACAGCTCTCCTGTCCGAGTTTTGTTGAGTGAAATCGTGAGTAAGTGCAGAGGCGTTGTGTGTGAACATGATAGCTATTGTAGATCTAGACTAAATATGAGCATTTACTCATCTCACTTGAACAAAAACACCATTCCTCAAAATGAATAAAAACAGAATATTATGAGTACCTCCTATAATTAAATATAACAGGGTTCTCAAGTTTTATCAAAAGCTTGGAGTGAGATCACATGCGGTTAGGGGCGGAGCCTAAATGGAGCCCCGCCCCCGCCTTGCCCCGCCCCCAATTTTACCCATTGTTCATAATTAACCAGCAAAAATGGAAATTATAACAATTGGTAAATCTGATAAATGACAGAGCAATTCATCACATCAAATATAGGCCTACTCTTTAATGTTAAATTTCAAAATTAGGCTACAAATATATAACAAATTGCTCCAAAATGTTTGGAAAAACAAATATTTTTGCATTTTTCCCTGACATCTTTGAAAAATACAAATGCAATGGCAATGATTAGGCTAATGTATGTTTTGACAGGATATACAATATTACCAAGAGCACTCTGCTTTAGCCTTAATGTAACTAGAAATACTATTAATACAGTATAATATAGAATTTAAAATAAACTGAAGAAATACATCTTCATTCCTTCCCATACCCACTAACATTTCCTTAGCCAAACTGAGTCAAAGCTTCTGGCCTGGTTGCAAAGCAGTTGTAGAGTTTTTGACTGCATCAATAATGTATACGATGGGCTATATATTAAATGTTCAAGAACTTCTAGTCTTAAAATGTTAGGCGAGCTTTCTTCCAACTTACTTTCTCCATCACGACGTGTGTTCGCGCGATGTCGCGGTGGCCGAACTTCCGTGTGTGTTCGCGGACTTCGCGCGTCTATAAGTTGCCTATAACGAACGCAATCTGGCCGAGATGCGGACGCGCTGGCGGCAGGAAACTTATCTTTGTGTGCATGCGCCTCGTATACAACGTTATAAAGCTTGCAGGACAACTTGGTTGGCATTGCCTTTTCAGCGTGAGAAATACACGGTGTGGCGTGTGAGCGTGTGAACTGGTTGAATTGCGTGTGTCTCACGGCCACTTGAGAACCCTGAAAATTACACAAATATACTTTATGTATTTAATCTCACTTTATTTACGAATGTCTTTGCTCGTGAACTTTGATGAACCAATTAGAAAAAAAAGACTAAGTTAAATATCATATTTGTGTTTCATTTTTCTTTGTTTTTATGCTGAAGTAAGAGTGTTGAACTTTCTTCTGCAATACAGAATGACATCACAGCTGAAAGGTTTGTCTGAGTGGCGCCCTCTACTGTACAGGTGAGCATTTCAGCATTTCAGCCTCAGGATGATTCATTTCACTTTTGGGGTCCTATTTTAAGGATCTAAGCGCATGGTCTAAAGCGCGCGGCGCAAATGCACTTAGTGTGAGTCCGAATCCACTTTTGCTAGTTTAACGACGGGGAAAATGGCCGGCGCTCCCGGCGCATGGTCTAAAAGGGTTGTCTCAATTCTCTTAATGAGTAATGGGAAATAAACCAATCAGAGTCTCTTCTCCCATTCCCTTTAAAAGCCAGTTGCGCTCGCGCGGTGGCGGATTCACTATTTACATGACGAAATTTGCAAGTGGAAAAACTGAACGCTTCTCTGCCATGCAGACCATCTACGGGACAAAGTGTACGTGCGTTGTGGACCCGCCTATAGGCGCACATTACTAATCCGCTCTTTAAATAACAAAAAAAATTTGCGCAGTTTATTTCAGTTTCCTCAAAATAGCAACGCACCAACAATGCTCCTGAACACACCTCAGACCAGCAGCCCATGGGCCACAGATGGGCGCAAATGCATTTGCTATTTAAACAACGTGGCGCAGGACGTGAAAATGAAAACTGCGTCGGGCTGGAACTAGCAAAACACACTTGCATTGCGCAGGTGTATGTAGGGCCCTTGGTGTGAAAGGTCTATATTTACCCCCCAAAAAAAGACCTTCAGGGGGTTGTACAGTTGTACAGTAGGTAATATAAACCATAATGTTAAGAGATCTTTTGTATGGTCAGGAACTGAAGATGCATATTATATATATAGGATATTGTTGAATGTATTACTGCGTTGAACACACAAAAAAAAAAAACGTTTCTGTACAAACCCCCCACAAGGCCTGGGTGAGAGCGAGCCTCAGCTGAGATAAAAGTAATGCAAAAGTAACGTAATGCATTACTTTACATAAAGAGTAACTAAGTTACCTAATTAGTTACTTTTTTAGGGAGTAACGCAATATTATAACACATTGCATTTAAATATAACTTTCCCCAACACTGGTCCTGAACTCTGTGTATTGAATTGAGTGGGAAGCTCAGTGAGGTTTTACTTTAGTTTACTTACATAGCCGAAGGGAACCACGAATCCCATGACAATAGCACAGAAGAACATGACCATACACAGAATGAAGAGAAGACCTTGGTATGAGGTGATGTCAATCTATAGAGACAAAAAAATTATATTATTGTATTTTGCATGTATAAACAATTGTACTTTAAAGCAACATTGCTTTATAAAAGCAATATGATAAAAGACACCAATGTTCACTAAAAATGTAATATGTAATTAAATGTAATGATAATTCTTTCATCAGTTGCTCACCTTGCTCTGAAAGCTGAAGATGGTGACGCACAGAAACACGGTGGCAGTGATGCCAATGCACAGCATCACAGACTTGGTGTTGTAGAAACTGTAGGAAAAATGACCGTTATGGTCAGTAGATATTAAACATATCCTGTGGAATTTAGAAAAACAAGTTTGCAAACATATGGATATGTCATTACCTGGAGATAAAACCCAACATGGAAGCCATGCTCAGAGTCTTTGTTTGCACAAGGTTCACAAAAGCATGCAGAATAGATGACAGCGGGGGGAAAAGGGGGAAGAAAATAATCAAAGAACATTTAAGTATATTAATGCAGTGTAATGCAATGAAATGCAAACATTTTAAGTTTGGCTCTAAAATGATTTTTGGGCTACTGTAGATATTGGTTATTAAGACAAAAGGCAAACCTGTACTTTACACTCTTAAAAATAAAGGTTCCAAGAGGAAGTTTTGGCAGTGATGCTGTAGAAGAACCATTACTGGCTCCTCAAAGAACCTTCCAGCGCTCACTTCGTAAAACAACTTCTTCTTTTTCTTAGTGTGAAGAACATTTAAATAATCTAAAGAACGTTGGTGCATTTGAAAGTTTCTCCATGGATGTTAAAGGTTCTCCATGGATGTTAAACGGATGTTAAAGGTTCTCCATGGATGTTAAATGGATGTTAAAGGTTCTCCATGGATGGTAAAGGTTCTCCATGGATGTTAAAGGTTCTCCATGGATGTTAAACGGATGTTAAAGGTTCTCCATGGATGTTAAAGGTTCTCCATGGATGTTAAATGGATGTTAAAGGTTCTCCATGGATGTTAAACGGATGTTAAAGGTTCTCCATGGATGTTAAATGGATGTTAAAGGTTCTCCATGGATGGTAAAGGTTCTCCATGGATGTTAAAGGTTCTCCATGGATGTTAAAGGTTCTCCATGGATGTTAAAGGTTCTCCATGGATGTTAAACGGATGTTAAAGGTTCTCCATGGATGTTAAATGGATGTTAAAGGTTCTCCATGGATGGTAAAGGTTCTCCATGGATGTTAAACGGATGTTAAAGGTTCTCCATGGATGTTAAACGGATGTTAAAGGTTCTCCATGGATGTTAAATGGATGTTAAAGGTTCTCCATGGATGTTAAAGGTTCTCCATGGATGTTAAACGGATGTTAAAGGTTCTCCATGGATGTTAAATGGATGTTAAAGGTTCTCCATGGATGGTAAAGGTTCTCCATGGATGTTAAAGGTTCTCCATGGATGTTAAACGGATGTTAAAGGTTTTCCATGGATGTTAAAGGTTCTCCATGGATGTTAAAGGTTCTTCATGGATGTTAAATGGATGTTAAAGGTTCTCCATGGATGTTAAAGGTTCTCCATGGATGGTAAAGGTTCTCCATGGATGTTAAAGGTTCTCCATGGATGTTAAACGGATGTTAAAGGTTCTCCATGGATGTTAAAGGTTCTCCATGGATGTTAAACGGATGCTAAAGGTTCTCCATGGATGTTAAATGGATGTTAAAGGTTCTCCATGGATGGTAAAGGTTCTCCATGGATGTTAAAGGTTCTCCATGGATGTTAAACGGATGTTAAAGGTTCTCCATGGATGTTAAAGGTTCTCCATGGATGTTAAATGGATGTTAAAGGTTCTCCATGGATGTTAAAGGTTCTCCATGGATGTTAAACGGATGTTAAAGGTTCTCCATGGATGTTAAACGGATGTTAAAGGTTCTCCATGAATGTTAAAGGTTCTCCATGGATGTTAAACGGATGTTAAAGGTTCTCCATGGATGTTAAACGGATGTTAAAGGTTCTCCATGGATGTTAAATGGATGTTAAAGGTTCTCCATAGATGGTAAAGGTTCTCCATGGATGTTAAACGGATGTTAAAGGTTCTCCATGGATGGAAGCGGTTCTTCATGGATGTTAAACGGATGTTAAAGGTTCTCCATGGATGTTAAAGGTTCTCCATGGATGTTAAACGGATGTTAAAGGTTCTCCATGGATGTTAAACGGATGTTAAAGGTTCTCCATGGATGGTAAAGGTTCTCCATGGATGTTAAAGGTTCTCCATGGATGTTAAACGGATGTTAAAGGTTCTCCATGGATGGAAGCGGTTCTTCATGGATGTTAAACGGATGTTAAAGGTTCTCCATGGATGTTAAAGGTTCTCCATGGATGTTAAAGGTTCTCCATGGATGTTAAATGAATGTTAAAGGTTCTCCATGGATGTTAAAGGTTCTCCATGGATGGAAAAGGTTCTTCATGGATGTTAAATGAATGTTAAAGGTTTTCCATGGATGTTAAAGGTTCTCCATGGATGGAAAAGGTTCTCCATGGATGTTAAATGAATGTTAAAGGTTTTCCATGGATGTTAAAGGTTCTCCATGGATGTTAAAGGTTCTTCATGGATGTTAAACGGATGTTAAAGGTTCTCCATGGATGTTAAAGGTTCTCCATGGATGGTAAAGGTTCTCCATGGATGTTAAAGGTTCTCCATGGATGTTAAACGGATGTTAAAGGTTCTCCATGGATGTTAAAGGTTCTCCATGGATGTTAAACGGATGTTAAAGGTTCTCCATGGATGTTAAATGGATGTTAAAGGTTCTCCATGGATGGTAAAGGTTCTCCATGGATGTTAAAGGTTCTCCATGGATGTTAAACGGATGTTAAAGGTTCTCCATGGATGTTAAAGGTTCTCCATGGATGTTAAATGGATGTTAAAGGTTCTCCATGGATGTTAAACGGATGTTAAAGGTTCTCCATGGATGTTAAACGGATGTTAAAGGTTCTCCATGGATGTTAAAGGTTCTCCATGGATGTTAAACGGATGTTAAAGGTTCTCCATGGATGTTAAACGGATGTTAAAGGTTCTCCATGGATGTTAAAGGTTCTCCATGGATGTTAAACGGATGTTAAAGGTTCTCCATGGATGTTAAACGGATGTTAAAGGTTCTCCATGAATGTTAAAGGTTCTCCATGGATGTTAAACGGATGTTAAAGGTTCTCCATGGATGTTAAACGGATGTTAAAGGTTCTCCATGGATGTTAAATGGATGTTAAAGGTTCTCCATAGATGGTAAAGGTTCTCCATGGATGTTAAACGGATGTTAAAGGTTCTCCATGGATGGAAGCGGTTCTTCATGGATGTTAAACGGATGTTAAAGGTTCTCCATGGATGTTAAAGGTTCTCCATGGATGTTAAACGGATGTTAAAGGTTCTCCATGGATGTTAAACGGATGTTAAAGGTTCTCCATGGATGTTAAAGGTTCTCCATGGATGTTAAATGGATGTTAAAGGTTCTCCATGGATGTTAAATGGATGTTAAAGGTTCTCCATGGATGTTAAAGGTTCTCCATGGATGTTAAACGGATGTTAAAGGTTCTCCATGGATGTTAAACGGATGTTAAAGGTTCTCCATGGATGTTAAAGGTTCTCCATGGATGTTAAACGGATGTTAAAGGTTCTCCATGGATGTTAAATGGATGTTAAAGGTTCTCCATGGATGTTAAAGGTTCTCCATGGATGTTAAACGGATGTTAAAGGTTCTCCATGGATGTTAAACGGATGTTAAAGGTTCTCCATGAATGTTAAAGGTTCTCCATGGATGTTAAACGGATGTTAAAGGTTCTCCATGGATGTTAAACGGATGTTAAAGGTTCTCCATGGATGTTAAATGGATGTTAAAGGTTCTCCATAGATGGTAAAGGTTCTCCATGGATGTTAAACGGATGTTAAAGGTTCTCCATGGATGGAAGCGGTTCTTCATGGATGTTAAACGGATGTTAAAGGTTCTCCATGGATGTTAAAGGTTCTCCATGGATGTTAAACGGATGTTAAAGGTTCTCCATGGATGTTAAACGGATGTTAAAGGTTCTCCATGGATGGTAAAGGTTCTCCATGGATGTTAAAGGTTCTCCATGGATGTTAAACGGATGTTAAAGGTTCTCCATGGATGGAAGCGGTTCTTCATGGATGTTAAACGGATGTTAAAGGTTCTCCATGGATGTTAAAGGTTCTCCATGGATGTTAAAGGTTCTCCATGGATGTTAAATGAATGTTAAAGGTTCTCCATGGATGTTAAAGGTTCTCCATGGATGGAAAAGGTTCTTCATGGATGTTAAATGAATGTTAAAGGTTTTCCATGGATGTTAAAGGTTCTCCATGGATGGAAAAGGTTCTCCATGGATGTTAAATGAATGTTAAAGGTTTTCCATGGATGTTAAAGGTTCTCCATGGATGTTAAAGGTTCTTCATGGATGTTAAACGGATGTTAAAGGTTCTCCATGGATGTTAAAGGTTCTCCATGGATGTTAAACGGATGTTAAAGGTTCTCCATGGATGTTAAATGGATGTTAAAGGTTCTCCATGGATGGTAAAGGTTCTCCATGGATGTTAAAGGTTCTCCATGGATGTTAAACGGATGTTAAAGGTTCTCCATGGATGTTAAAGGTTCTCCATGGATGTTAAATGGATGTTAAAGGTTCTCCATGGATGTTAAAGGTTCTCCATGGATGTTAAACGGATGTTAAAGGTTCTCCATGGATGTTAAACGGATGTTAAAGGTTCTCCATGGATGTTAAAGGTTCTCCATGGATATTAAACGGATGTTAAAGGTTCTCCATGGATGTTAAACGGATGTTAAAGGTTCTCCATGGATGTTAAATGGATGTTAAAGGTTCTCCATAGATGGTAAAGGTTCTCCATGGATGTTAAACGGATGTTAAAGGTTCTCCATGGATGGAAGCGGTTCTTCATGGATGTTAAACGGATGTTAAAGGTTCTCCATGGATGTTAAAGGTTCTCCATGGATGTTAAACGGATGTTAAAGGTTCTCCATGGATGTTAAACGGATGTTAAAGGTTCTCCATGGATGGTAAAGGTTCTCCATGGATGTTAAAGGTTCTCCATGGATGTTAAACGGATGTTAAAGGTTCTCCATGGATGGAAGCGGTTCTTCATGGATGTTAAACGGATGTTAAAGGTTCTCCATGGATGTTAAAGGTTCTCCATGGATGTTAAAGGTTCTCCATGGATGTTAAATGAATGTTAAAGGTTCTCCATGGATGTTAAAGGTTCTCCATGGATGGAAAAGGTTCTTCATGGATGTTAAACGGATGTTAAAGGTTCTCCATGGATGGAAAAGGTTCTTCATGGATGTTAAACGGATGTTAAAGGTTCTCCATGGATGTTAAAGGTTCTCCATGGATATTAAAGGTTCGGTTCTCCATGGATGTTAAACGGATGTTAAAGGTTCTCCATGGATGGAAAAGGTTCTTCATGGATGTTAAACGGATGTTAAAGGTTCTCCATGGATGTTAAAGGTTCTCCATGGATATTAAAGGTTCGGTTCTCCATGGATGTTAAACGGATGTTAAAGGTTCTCCATGGATGTTAAATGGATGTTAAAGGTTCTCCATGGATGGAAGAGGTTCTTCATGGATGTTAAACAGATGTTAAAGGTTCTCCATGGATGGAAAAGGTTCTTCATGGATGTTAAACGGATGTTAAAGGTTCTCCATGGATGTTAAAGGTTCTCCATGGATATTAAAGATTCGGTTCTCCATGGATGTTAAAGGTTCTCCATGGATGTTAAAGGTTCTCCATGGATGTTAAATGGATGTTAAAGGTTCTCCGTGGATGTTAAAGGTTCTCCGTGGATGTTAAATGGATGTTAAAGGTTCTCCATGGATGTTAAAGGTTCTCCATGGATGTTAAAGGTTCTCCATGGATGTTAAAGGTTCTCCATGGATGTTAAATGGATGTTAAAGGTTCTCCATGGATGTTAAAGGTTCTTCGTGGAACCATCGATGCCAATAAAGAACTTTTATTTTGAAGAGTGTACTTGAAGTGAGGGACTGTTTTATTTTAGCATGTAAGTATTTCATTATAATAAAGTCAAAGTATTTAAACAGATACTCACAAAGATTGTAAGCAGAATAAAATTCCATGGAAACTGCCTCCTATAATACAGAAATGAAAAGATTATATTACGATGTGTTTTCCTGCTTATTTCTCATATAGAATAAGTGTATCACCACAACTGTTTCATGAACTGACCTCAAATCACCACAGCAAACCAATGTGAGATATGTGACGAGAAACAGAAGACTGCAGAACACAAACATATTGCTTAAGTTAAAGATCACGCAAATTAATACCTAAATGAGGAACATTTTAAAGCATTTATGGCCATATTTGAATGACTGATATTACGTACTTGGACATGGAGTATAAAATCGGATGTGTTTGAATGTACATCCTCACCGGAGCACTGAGAAAAGCAGAGCAAAAGAGGTTAGGAGTGTACTTAAAAACTCAAAAATCAATACTTAATATAATACGCTTACACATAACTCATACAACACACTGTTCAAAAGTTTGAGGTCGGTAAGATTTTTTTTGTTCGTTTTTGAAGTCTTGTTTGCTCCCCAAGTCAAACCAGTAAACACAGTAATATTGTGAAATATTATTCATGTGATCAAAGCTGCATTGTTTAAAAGAGTGGGCCAATTTAGTATTGGAATAGTACACTTACAAGTATACTACTAGTACATTGATACTATAATTACTGCATAAGGTATACTTAAAAATATACTTGAACTTTACTTGAATATACTTAATAAAATGAACTTGAAGTACACTTGTTTTTTGTAAGGATTACCAATGTTCACAAGAGTTCATATTTTTGTGGAAACTGTGATGGAAATCTTTTGTTCAATCTTTTTAATGCGTCCTTGCTGACTAAAAGTATTCATTTCTTCACAGTGATAATAATCCATCTTTGACCAGCATGCAGTATCTCGACTCACTGGAAGGTGAAGAGAGCGATGACTGCGACTGTAGAGAAGAGCTGCAGCATCAGAATGGAATAAACCTGCCAGAAATGACAAGACACGTGTTTATTACAAGCATTTTGATTTGATAATCCTCAATACATATTTAATTTGAACATTTAAATTGTCACCTTTCGTATAAAGATTCGTCTAATAAACTTGTCATCCCAGGAAAAAGTTCCTCCACCATAGTAGTAACCAGGACATCCTACAAATAAATTCATAAATAAGACCAGAAATATATATTTGAGATTATTTGTCCGAGTGCTATGATAAGCACCTGCGTTGGCCTCGTCGTAGCTTGGCGGGATCTGTCCTTCCACAGTCTGGACCGTCGGGGAAATCTGGGAAACAAACAGATTTGGAAAATATTTAAGGCATGTAATATAGAGGCCAATAACATAATGCCAAATAATAATCATTGATCATAATTATTTAACTCACTTTGAGAATGGTTATGAAATAGTCAGAGTAAACTTTAATCTTTGATTAGATTATTGTTTATAAGCGTATGGATATGATCCAAATTTAGAGATTAACTGACCTGTGCAAATGAAACCATGAAATACAGGACATATTGTCTTATGAAAAAGATCATTTTGATTGTGTGTATGAATGCAAAATACAGTCGGTTTCATTTTAAAATTCTTTAGTAGAATAAAACTTGATGTTTTTATGTCTCTGTAAAGACAGAAGCTTGATCTATAAATAGTGGTAATGATCTCCTTATGGAAATATGCAGTAAAGCATAGGGACTACACACTTCTGAAATCAGATACAAGGTTTAATGCCATTCAGTCAATTACATTTGAAACCATTATTTTTATATGTTACTGTATTATATATATTATTATGTTATTATATTGATATCATTACTTGTAGATGAATTCAGCTTCACTTTACTTTCACAGTTTTCAGGGTACACTGTACTATTGTTATGTTGTTCTATTCTATTTTTATGTTATGTTACCTTATGTTGTTGTATTCTTTTCTATTCTATTCTATTGTTCTGTTATATTCTATTCCATTGTTCTGATTTGTTCTATACTATTATTTTCCATTTTTCTGTTTTGTTCTGGTCAATTCTATTCTGGTCTATTCTATTCTATTCTACTCTACTCTATTCTATTCCCCCCTTCAAGGTAAAGCGATTTAAGTACCCAGAAAAGCGCTATATAAATGTAACAAATTATTATTCTATTCTATTCTATTCTATTCTATTCTATTCTATTCTATTCTACAGTAACTGATAAAACAACACCTTACCTTTTTCTGTGTCATTGTCTGTGATGTTTTCCAGCGATGTGAGGATACGCTGTGGTTCTCAGCGGAAAGCGGAGAGTTTCAGTCGGTCGGTGTGTGAGTGTGTGTGTGTGTCTCTACAGTGGAGATTTATAGTATCTATCCAGGCTAATCCCTCCAGCAGGGCTTTAGTTCATTCCAGCAACGTCTCAGCACTGGGTGGCATGATGGGATAGAGCGGGAAAACACAAGCTTCATAACAGATCCTGGGCTTTCCTTGGACATGTGATGCAACAGGTGTGCTATATTTAGAGTTATATAGCATGTTATGTATGTAGGACTAACCTGAAATGAGAAAGATGATGATACATAAGTACATGTGATGTGAAGATGACATATTATTTGAGTAGAAAATGTTGGAAAGGTGTGGGTTTGTCTTGTCTTGTTTTGTATTAGAAATATCTAAAAAAAATTCAAGATACATTTAGGCTACTTGAGAAGCAAAACGAGTTGATATTGTGGTTTTCTGAAAAGAAAAGAAAAATCAAAATGAAGTGAGTTTATTCTTAGAATAAGATCAAATATCTGCATGTGGCGAAAACAAGTTTGTTTTCAGATATCAGTCCTTGTTTTAAGCATGAACTCACTTCATTTTGATTAATTTTTCAGTAAAGAAGACTTAATATCTGAAGTCATTTTGCTTCTCAAGTAAATGAATCTTAATTGATTTAAGAATGTTTAGATATATTCGTACTGGAAAACAAGACAGAAATACTGAGTAATTTGTTAAAAAAAAGGAATGTATTTAATATGTATTTCATACATATTTTCATAAAAAAGAGTTATGATTGTAATAAGATTGAACTTGGGGAGACAACTTCAAGATAATAAAATACCCTAACAATATTAAATGGAGGGAAATATCAATACAATAAAAATACAATAAACACTAACTTTTTTCATTCAAAATGTTAATATTTGCTAATAACAATAAGTTAGAAATATTAATAAGTTAAAAATGCACACAGTACAGCTGGTGTCAATAATTCCCTGTTCATTTCATTGTTCACAAATATTCTAAAGGAACGCAAAAGGCTTGTGAAACGGTCCATGTTTTTTAAATATTAAATATGATAGTGCTGTAGTCTGATTCTACGTCAAGAGGCAGTCATTTATTTCCATGATAGTTTGATAGAAGAGGCAGGACAGCTTGTCATGAGTGTTATGCACAATATATGGGGCAAGTTGTCACATTAAAATAAAAGCAAAGACGAATTTTCGTTCGTAGAAGTGTAATTTACATTCATAAAGTCATTGTAAACTAACAATGATTAGATTTACCTGTTTCATTAAATGTTTTGTGATTCATATTGTTGATATACTGCTTAAAAGCAATTATTAGCTATATCAATACGACCATATGTGTACATAAGCACATCAACAGAGTTATGTTATGTAATTATACAATAGTATTATTAGTAAGGAAGGTTTAGTCTCTGTCAGGTTGTCAGGTCATGAGACTCGTCTTTTGAAACGGTGACTTCATGCTTTAGTAAGCGGCTTCTGGAACGACTGCCAGTGTGTTAAGAACGTTAAGGTTTAAGGGTTTATATCTAGAAGCCTGCTTGTCAGTGGGCCAAACTATAGTACGATAGCTGTTTATTTATATGTGCTGCCTGGAGGAAAAGAAAGATTTCAGTTTCGCAGTTGTTTTATACATTTACATTTCATTTGGCAGATGCTTTTAGCCACAGCGACTCAGGCCTAGATCACATTACATTACATTTTATCAGTTCATACATTTCCTGGGATTCAAACCCATGACCTTGCCGTTGTTTGAGCTAACTTACAGAAATGTATTTTTCAAAGTCATGTCAGAAATATGTATGAAAGTTATGTCATCTAAGCTAACGTGCTAGTTTGTCGGTAGAGGGCGCTCTTTAATTTATTATGGCCTGGTTTCTGTCCAATAGTCATAACTTTTCTTGTAATAACTTACCCCATAACGTTCCCGTTTTTCCCCGTTTTTTCCCCTCCATGTGTCCACACATTTCCGGTTGAAACAGGAAGTTGGGGTAGGACATCATGTAGGACATGCTGGAGCTATGCATGAACATTATTTTTGTCATGTTTTCCTAAAAAAAAAAAAGACTATAAGCTGCAAATATGTGCAATAATAATAATTGTGATATTATATATAATAATACAATTTTATTGTTTGCTCCCTTTAAGATTTAACATTTTTAACTCATTTAAATGTTGACACTTTATTCCGATTTTTAGTTTTAGCCAAACATAAAATAGTTCCAGATGCAATTGATGAATTGTATGATGAGTTCAGTCTCTGTTTCATTACTTGCTTAGCTTGCAACCTATAAGAAACAATAAAATATATTTTTAGAAATCATATTTAAAGACTTAATTCAAACTAATGTCGTTAGCCCACTGTTCATTTAAATGTAGTATGGCACAGTAACCTCAAGAGGGCGCACTTATTGTATTTAAATGCCATATCAAACATTATTAATTTGGATGTACAATATTTATTTATTTGTGTATAATCCATTAATACTAACGCTTTCTTTTCTCTTTTCTGTACTCTATATCTATTTATAAAAAAATGACATATACTGCGTTAGAGTAAACTGGGAAGGGTCACAGCACTTACGTATTGTTGTCCTATTGTTAGTTTAATTGCTTCTAATACTCTCCTCTTTTGCAAGCTTTGGATAAAAGCGTCTGCTAAATGATTAAATGTAAATGTTAAATGCTCATATCTGGAATCAGTTATTCATATACATTTGATATAGGCTATATTTGATAACCTATACATATTTTACATATTTGATATACATACAGTACATAAATGTATTATATATTATAGCCTATATATATATATTATATATTTTCTGTCTTTTTGTTATTCACAGGTATGTTTCATTCGGTATGGCCAACATTAAATATTCTAGACTCATTATTCTGTGCTACATTCTGTAATTGAAGTGTGTGTGATGTATGAAATGAAACAAAGATTCCATTTGGAACCCTGGAGCCATTATTTAAATGAAGGTGAAAATCTTGGCATGGATCACATACATCATGCTGGTTCCATCGCCTGTTGCTAGGATACCATTGTGCACCATCAGCATTCCATGTGCAAAGCAACGTGCAGTGCTCAGGATATCATATATACCGTATATGCGCATGTACTGTATACAAAATAGTCAGATTTGCAAAAATTGAAATGTAATTTTTTAATATCACATAATCTTGCCATCTCTATAGTAAAAGATAAACATAATACATTTACGAAATATACATTTAGATGCACGTGAAACAAATGAATTGACTTTGTGTAGAAATGCTAATGTCCGCTTTGCCGCTAACTCATCTTCGCCAATACAAAAGACACTTTCAGAAAATTCTGAACTGCAAAGGGTAGAAAATAAACCATATCCATGCAGAGCTGTTGTAAATGACATTGGCATAACAGTTTAAATACAAGATGAGATGAGCAGTCCTTTCTTCATGACACAGCCTGGTATTATCATGATATTTCCACACGTGAATTCATACTACAGTCTTATACAGTTATGAGAAACTATCATACATTTCAATTATAATACATGTTTTTTACACTCAATGTTTTGACTGTAAACAATATTTATAAAGGTCCACAAAGAGATATAAGAATGTGTTAGAGGAAATTATTGAATTATGAGCTAGCATCTGAAAGGTTGTACGATGTGTTGAACAATATGATAATAAATGCATAGCATCTGGAGTGAGAAGAATATTTATAATGTCCCAAAACTTCATAGCCTACTGACACCGATCTTTCAATGCGAGTCCAGATTATAAAACCATCCATCACCTCATAATCTCGTCAAATGTCCATTTTAGGAAGAAAAATCGATTCCCTCTTCTTGGATTTCTTGAAACCTCTCCTGAAAAGTCCAAATGTCCAGCATCTGCTCCATTCTTTAAAAGAATCCTTACGTTGCATTGGAAAAGCGAGTCTGTGTAAGTGCGAGTCAGATGTGTCGTCCTGAATTATGCATGGCTTGTTTGTACAGAAGAGCACCCTGAATCTGTGTTTTGGGTCTGGCGTGCGCCTCAGGGGTCGATGTGGAAGGCGAGGAGTTTCTCCGAGTGCTGGTTGTTGAGTGTCCTGAGGTCTGGCAGACGCAGCAGGAGTTTGGGGAAGAGTGTGCTGTCTTCTGGCCTCCTGCGAGTGATGAGAGCTCGGAGAGCGCCGATCAAATCCTCCTGGAGCTGCTCGACGGCCCCCACGTCTGAGATACCTGAGCGATCTGACACACAGAGTACACAATCATGAGTACCTGGAATACACACTCATGGCGTAGACATTACTACTCTATTCCAAACTCTAGTGCAAGGCTTTGCTGTCCTTCTAAGGGCGGGTTCAAACAGAACACGGTTTTGCTGTTTAAAACGCAGGTCACGGAACAAAAAAAGTTGTCTTTTTTTTCCAAAGTTGAACTTCTTTTAACTTGAGCGCCACGTTTTTAGAACGGCGTGTCATGTGTGAGATGCAAGTGCAACGGTTAAAGACGTCCGTCTAGCGTGTTTACTTTGAAAAACGATGCAAAAGTAGCGCAGTGGAATGGACAGACGCGTTCTGTGTGAAGTGATAGTTGACGGATTTAAAACACTCATGGATATCAACTTCACTACACAAATAGAGCTATCAATTGAAATGTATACTAGTCTAAGCACAAAAATATGGTGCCATTAAAAAAAATGGGTGATAATTAGTGTGCTAATAGAACTGTTTTCTATAAAAGTTTGTTTCCGCCACAGAATTTAAAAAACCTATTAGATAATTGCACCTTTTTATCTCACAATTCTGACGTTTTCTCTCGCCATTCCAAGTTTATAACCCACAATTCGAACTTTTTTTTCTTCAAAAAAAGGTTGCAATTAAAAAAAATAGTTTTATCAAAATAGAATGTTTTTGCATTTTCTTTGACTACAGCCACCATTTTGGATTGTAGTATCGCATTATCCACAAAGGACACATGTGATGCTGATTGTGATGCGAAGATACTGTTCGGAACAGCCATGTGAAAAGCACAGCTGTGATGCCTGAAAATGTTGGACCGACACTCTTGAAACATTGCTTGCGTGTGACACGTACCTGCAGAAACCAGCACCACAGCCATGAAGAGACCCATCTCGTCGGCCTCCAGACCCATGTTCCCCAGCTTCTCACTGAACTCAAACATGGCGTCCAGAAGACTGCCCATGCCAAGCACTCGCAGCGACGCCAACGGGTAGGTCTGACCATTTAGGAATGTTACAGTCCGTTCCTTGGCGTCAAAGAGCGAGCAGAACCTCACCATTAGAACCTGCAATGAAGAAAAATGATGTTAAATAAACTGTTCAACATTGGGTCGTGTAAAGTGCATCACTCAAAGACTTTATTCATTGAAATATAAGCACTGGACGCATTTCGCTTTCATTCAGACCTTAGTTATTGAGTGCTGAAACAAATCTGTAAAGATATTAGTCTAGAGTCTTGCACAGTCCGTAAATAGTTGTCCGTAACACCATGTAATTGAAACTGCTAGGGATTGGATTCATGATCGAATTGTTCAGTTGAGTCAAATCTTTTCAATTAATCAATTGAACCAGTTCACAAAAGCAATCTGAACCAGATCAATCCTTAAATCAGGATCTTGAGTCAACAATATTTTGGTTTTAAATGACCTGAATCACAGCTGCAAGAACCTGAACTAAGACTCCTAGATTACATAATCATAATCTAATAAACATCAATATGTTTCTACATAGAAGAAGGCAAAGACAGTGTGATTGGAACTGATCTGGGGACAGACGTTGGCGTTTCTCACCTGAAAGGTTCCTGCCTTCAGCAGCATGACCTGATCATGTTGACTCAGTGCCTGAAACCCGGGAATACTCTTGGCAAACTCCACCACTTCTTTAACAGCCGGAGTGAAGCACTGGGAGAAACTCTCCCAGACCTGTTGACTGGAGTGACTGGCTGGGGAGACGGGACATGCATTGAGAGGACATGCCTAGAGAAATACAGGAAGAGACTCATTTAATCACATGAATTCTAAAAAAATAAATAAAAAAGTATGTTGTTTTGCGATGTACATCAAATCATACGCCCTCATAAAAACCTACCAGAACTTTAGCACCAGGACTCAGTCTCCAAGGACAAGACGTCTGAGTGGAATAACTGTTGTGCTTCGATGGATAGCTTTGAGAAGGTGTACTTCCCTGACTGGGACTTGAGGACTGTGGGAAGTTATAGTGACTGTTGTCTGGTTTGTTGTCGTGGCTGGCGAACGGGCATCTGGACTGGGAGAGGCAGTTTGTTGTGGAATGTACAGGATGTTCTCGCGGTGAGACGCTTGGCTGAGGATGAGACTGGGTGTAACCGGACTCTTGTATTGGATTATGACGGAAGGAAGAAGGACTGTTGTTATTGTCATCGTCAATCTTCACTAACACCTTCTCCCCGTTCACAAAGATGTTTCGATAAGCTTGCGAGATCGCACCGATGCCCTCTTCTGATTGGCCGTCTCCAGGGCTGGTAGGGGTCTCGGTGGGTGAAGAACAGTTGATGTCCATGGACGCCGATTCATTAAGGCTGTTCATGTAACTCTGCATTTCGTCCAGTAGACGTTGTTTCTCGCGCTTCGGAATGCGTCCGAATCGCACAGCTAGGAGAAACGGGGGATTAAATGTCACTATGTATAATCCAATCATACAAATGCAAAGGTTTCACTGAATTTACAACTGTACAATAATGTAATGAGGTACGAGAGGCTGTGCTGTACTGTGAATATAGTCACGGCTAGAGGGGAATTGGTTAGGTCGAACATGCACTGGAATAGCTTTATTGATTTATCCTCATTTTGCACATTGAAGTAAGCTATTTTCTGTGTATGTGCATAATTGGGATGCACTTGGACTGTGCCTTCATTCTGCGAGACGGAGTGGAAGGCAGATACGGGAAGTGTTCGATCGGCTTAAGGTTAACAGTCTTATGTAGGTTCCTCTTTCAGGTTACCAGCTTATATTTATGCATACGACAGACAGTTTTACTGTACGATGCAGCACAGAAGGACAGCTGTACTGACAAATCAGCATTCAGGATCCATTTTATAAAAGACATACAGTGACCACTAATCGTTCATATCACATAACTGGTCTACAAAGCTTCGTTCTGTTCTACTTCCCCCTCCTCTTTCTCATCCGATCTCTCCCTACTCCACCTCGCAGCTATTCATAGATCCTACAACTGTATAATACCCCTCCCCCATCCTTCTGTTCATCTCTCTGTGTCTCTATCCCATTGGGAAGTGGGTCAGTGAGTCACCGAAGCACTGGTGTCAGTGAGGGAATGAGTGATGGAGTGAGTGACAGCAGGGGAAATGATACAGTCGTGGGGTCGAGGGTTAGCGGGTTACAGGTTATAAGGGCAGAGAGAAGAAGGCGTTAGAATAGTTAAGTGGTGCAATGTTGTAGGGCAGAGGAACATGATATGATGATGAACTAGACTGATAAGGAGCACCAAGTGTTGAGCAATGCGAAGTGCCTTCAGCAAGCAAGGTTCGGTTGAAACTGCTAACACAAGCACTAATGCAAAACCAGATCTTTAGGCCTGTAATATAACCAGGTTTTGCGTGTCTCGAGGTGTCATAAAGCACCCTCACGTGAAGCCGCGGACCAGTGTTAAAGGAGAAGTCAAGGTTTCCGGTGACAAGCTCAATGACATAATATAATGGAGGAAGAATATACCATCTACATGTACTGTAAAGCAAGCGACATACAGTATTAGCTACGTTTTTTGCCATTTAAGGGCAAAGTTAAATCCATAATGGTTCTTTATATATTCATAAACTTTCAAATTAATTGGAAATCTTATGCAATTACAGCGTGAGTTGCAACAAGGGAGGAAAACAAGGTCAAGTGACGTTGAAATATGATGGTGCATACGGTGCATCACTTTACTTTCCCCGCTTTTTAGGTCACCTAAATATGTACACTAGCCCCAGAAAATATGATTTATTATCAGCCCAGTTTACAAAGCTCCCCAGAGACAGCAGTGTCCTGTATGGGCAAAGTGTACTAGAGGACAAATCGGAAAAAATATATTTTAGCATATTTATGCAGTACATTCGACTGAAATAAATGCTCTAAGCTTCTGGGTTACATCGACAAAGCACTTTATTAAATCCCAGCGAGCGTTTAGATCTTAATTAATCCTGCAATACAGCAAACGAAGACCTGGAAACACATTAAACTGCAGTGCACTAGGAGCTCGGTGTCCCCAATTCCCCAAATTAACCTGATTTGCAGCAGTTTTTACAGTGAGCGATGACTTGTGGGATTTCGGCGTGCCCGCACTAATAAATCAGCGGTGAAAGGAAACTGTCAGCCATAGGTGCAAACATTACAGAACAGATGGTGGATGCTGGGTTGAGGAAATAAAAAAGGAGAATCGAAAGAATGTTTTAAATGTGCTGTAAAGGTGCGATCACATTAGCGAAATTTTGCAGCAAAAAGGTCAATTGTCCATTGTCAATAGTAGTGATGCATGAAACACCACTCACACAGAGGTCACTTTCAAACACAATCACATTTGCGTAACAAATTTCAACCTACATGGGGACATTTTTTGCCCTCACTCGAAACTTCAGATCACGCAGATTCTACTTGAAACCACTGGATTACAAATGTGATATTTAGAATTGGTATGCAGTTGCCAATGGACAAACTGCTAGTGTGTTGCGTGATCTGTTGTTAAGTGGGTTCATACTGGACCAGTCTATATGCTGGTCTCCAGATCGGTGTTAAATTGCTTAGAAAAGTGCAATTACTAGGGTCTATACTGAGGGGTTCTAGGACATTGCTAGGTGGTTCTTTACTCAACCAACTACATTCCTAACACTGTTTGGTAATTCTGATTGTTTCCCTCAGCAAACACTTTAAATAATATAGTCATACCAAGAATAATAATGTTTATTATTAATAACTGTATGTTTAAAGCTCTTACCATCTCTGGACATGCCGACAGAGAGGCACTTCTTAAAGCGACAGTGCTGACAGCGATTGCGATTCATCCTCATGATCAGACAGTTTTCATTCTTCACACACATCTTATAATTGATGTTCTGCTGGATACTGCGGCGGAAGAAACCCTGAGGGTAACACAAGATCAGATTGAATGTGTGTGTGAGTAAAGCAACAGGCACATGAACCGAATAGAGACTTCAGTTTAGGGGCCATTACTAAACACATCAGTTATGCATTTTGAGAATATTTTATGAGTGAGAAGTGTGCATTTGCGTGTCCTTACCTTGCATCCTTCACATGCATGGACACCATAGTGAAATCCTGATGCAATATCTCCACATACTTTGCAAAGCAACACCATACCTCCGGTTTCTATTAACACAAATTTAAAATGAGTTAGCAGTGGTCAATCTCACAGAATTTGAGGCTAAATGATCAAAAATGACTCCAATAATACTCACTAGTAAAGGTACCCGTGAATCCAATGGGTCGCCTGCCAACCATTGGGTGAGAGTAGGAGTTTTGCCCTGATGACGTTAAGGTCGGTGTAACGGTGTTGACAGAGGAAGCACTGCTTACTTCTGGAAATTGGAAAACCAGTTTGTTGCCCCTTACAGAATTGCCACTGCTTCCAGCTGAGTATTTTTTAGGGGCACCAAGATCAGTGAAGGAGACCTCCTCGGGGGATGAGGGCTGGGAGGATGGGGACTGGGTCTGGTACCCACTGGATGGGCTTCCTGGGCTGGGGCTGGCACTTCCAGTTGAGCCTGCATAGTGAATCACTCCTTCACCTGCGAGTGTGTGAAGGAGAAGAGAGAAAGAGAGGGGGAAAAAATATTTCATGAGGATAAGTTTCTCTTGTTATTATAAATATCTAGTTCAGTCATGAAACTCTAGACGGAGCAGATCCTTAATGGAATATGCTAGCCATCGCATTGTTCACGACATGGCTCTACAAGCTGATTGGTCTCTGGTTTACAAGCAGCCAATGAGCTTGCATGCTCAACATTTAAATAGTCTGGTTTAGTGTTTGCTGTAAACCGGTCCTGCAGCCCTCCACCTTCCCCAGCTCCACCTGCCTAGATCTGCTATGTGTAATTTCATGTGTGGTATATCATGGCAACATGCTCACAGCATCGTGTCTGTGAATGTATTTACAGTAGCAATTCTCCATACTGGCTCTACAGCAGCACCAATAACAGTCTGCCAAGTGCCAAGACCATATACATTAACATTGTCATGTCCATTAACATACCAAACTACCCCGAGTGTTGTCATGATATAAATATCTAAATGAGCAGAATGAAGGCTTTCATTTTAGCTTACATATCCATTGCACTCTACACAGTTTATTAAATCCGACTAATTTCATGTATATTCACGTCAGTTTGACACATTTTGGATGTTTAAATCCATTCTGCAGGATTTGGCAAATCTGTAATTTAGCTGAGGCTTTTATGCAAATCTTTAACAAAGATAAACGTGCAACATCTTAGTTACCAGCCACATTGTTGCTCTCTGAATCTGTTAAATGTCAGCAATGAACTGAATGGTATTGTAAACAGAGTGGGTGTGGATGTGGTCTATTCAGAAATGTATGTATTTTTTTGTTCAAAAAGCTGCCAAGCCACTGACTTCTATGTAAACTTGGAAATTTCTCACATGTTTGAACCCTTCACTACTTTCAGTCTGGCCAGCTCATCCGTCATCATGAATCACATGTTTCAAACCGCGCCAGGAGAGGGCTCAAACATGTGAGAAGTGTGCCAGACTGCCAGGATGAGCCAGACTGACTCACGTGTATAATTGTGTGTGTAACGTTGGGGAATCGGATTTATTTCAGAGAGTCAGTTCACTTCAGTGATTCGATCCGTCTCTCCACAGCGTTCCAAGAATTGCATGCCGATTTTCACGAGTTCAGTGTTAGTTAAATACAGCTGTTTGTTATGACTGCGTTTTATATTTTATTGTTTTCAAATGCAATTTGCATCTTCCAGTTTAATGTTGCCAAGTTTTTTTCCTTAAGTGTGTTTTTCTTGCGTCAAAAATCGAGTTGTCTCCCATCGTTGCAAAGTTCTCTCTTCTAACCTTCCCGAGTCTGTTAAACAGAATCATTCAAAAGAATCGACTCAAAAGAACAATTTGTTTGTGAATCATAAACTCGAAGAACTCTCACGCCCCCGCCTCACGCGCTGCGCGCTCCAGAGCTGCCAGCCACCTGACCGTCGACTCACATGCACTCCTGACACAGTGAACGCCCCGAAAACACAAGCCTCTTTGCGCAGTCCCGTGTCTAAAACAGCCGCAGTACGAGAGAGAGAGAGAGAAGCACACACTGCCAGCCTGCTGCTCACGTTTGAAGAGGGCTTAAAAACAGTAACCAGGGCCAGGTTTATGCGCCCGTGTTTGTAATACTTGAGTCACCGGAAACTGGAGTGCATGCATGAACGTGCACGGTCACGTTTGCTCGACATACGAGCTTGTTTTTGTTTTCGCCTTCTTGTTCTTTTTTTATAAGCAACTCATTTCACCTCTTCTCACTTGTTTATATGACGTGCATGGATGAAATATAGATATTATACTACATTAACGGCCCTTCCCAATTTCATTTCATCCGAGTTAAATATTGTTGTATGACACATCATTTCCCCAAACACCACATGAAACACCTTTCCTGTGTATTGTATCTCACATGCACAAAGGTGAATGAGAATGATAAGAAGAATGAAGAAATGAATGGGTTATTGAGTTTGTGAAACCTGCTGTTCAGGAACACAACATCCCTCTTGATGATGTTCTGAATGCTGACAGGAGTGCTGTGTTTGTTTAATATATGCAAGGTAGATTTTATGTTTAATCACTTAGTGACTTTAATAGATTTCAATAACATTAGTAGGCTATAAATGTACACTTCAGATTATACTATATAGTATTGTAAAGTACACTGTAAAAAAAAATGCTGCCTTAAATTAGGTACAATCACCTTAGATGTTTGTCATTTCAACTTAAAGTATTAAACTGCTGTATTGCATACCTTGTTGTAATGTACTATAATAATAACTACTGACATTTTGTATCACCTGAAGTGTGATACTGTGATGTCTTGTCAAATAAAAGAGAACCATATGCTTCCCCTATATGTGTATCTGAATGTGTAGTTTCTTATGATTCTGAATGATAAACAGAAAGATGATAAACGCTAAAGGACTTAACTATATTTTAAACCAGCCAAATGAACATTAAGTAAATGGCAGGTGAGCTCTACGTTGAGACTGTCAGTTGGGAGGCTTTAAAGGTGTGTGAAGGTTTGTTCAGAGAACTGGATGTCCTCAGACATGCGCTGCCTGCTGCTGAAAACTAGGTCAGTATTACTGTATCTTTTGGAAAAAACACATATGTGCAGCACAATCTATGTAAATGAAGACTCATTGTGCTACAAATTCATTCGCTTTGTAATATATTTTATTTTTGACATAAGGAACACTGCCGGATGTTGTACTGGGGCAAAGCACAAGCGAGTTAGACTATATATTTGAGCTTTCTGTTTTTACGAGACGAGTCAATCTCTTGTGTCTAGGCCTTAAATGCACCAAGCATCTTCTGTCACATAAGGCTGTGCTTGTTATAAGCCTGTGTGTTGTCTAATAGAGATCACGCAGGCAGAGAAGAACGGACTGAGCTGAAAGCTGTGCCTGTTTGACTTTGACCCAGTGACCAGCCTCCCTCCCTTCAGAGGCCGGATGAGATCGGCTGCCGGAACAAAAACACAGGCAAGGAGGGGGTGTGTGTGCGTGTGTGTGTGCGCCTGGGAAATCAAATCACGCGTGGCACGTGGAGTTCCGAGTTGATCCTCGTGATGGTGAAAGTGAAAGTCTGTCTGATGACATGCAAAACGTGCAGCTGGCGAACAGAGCGCTTTCAAAGAAATCACAAGCACCAGAATCAGAAAAATAACATACTGGATATGACATTGACCATATGTGTTTATGTGTCAATTATAAATGTTATTCCTAAAGTAGCACAATGATAATTGTAGCCTGTATAGTATTAATAATAATAATAATAATAATATGTACAATAAATTGACAGTTTTGCAATGTAGAGCCCATGTTTTAAAGTTCCCATGTATCATTATTTTACTTGCTGCCAAAAAACTATAGCATCACAATCACACTCGTTCTGACAGTAACACTTTATAATAAGGTTAATTAGTTAACATTAGTTAATATATTAATAACATGAACAATTTGTTACTAATTTGTGTTAATATTAGTTAATAAAAATAATCACAATTCAGCTGTTCATTGTTTGTTCATGTTAGTTCACAGTAATGTTAACAAATACAACCTTTGATTTGAATAATGCATTAGTAGCAAAATGTTGAAAATAATATTAACTAAGATGAATCAATTCTGCAGACGTATTGTTCATTCTTAGTTCATGTTGACTAATGAACCTTATTGTAAAGTGTAACCGTTCTGACTTAATATAAATATCAGATTACTTTATTATGACTCTATAATAAATGACTTCAGATTTAGCCATCTAAAAACATCATTGGCTTATAAGAAAGGTCATGTGCCAGTAAACAAACCTCTGGTGTATTGCCTGATGTGCAGTGTTTACTGTCTGTAAATGACGGGTTTCCTCGCATGTTCCTGAGCAGTTATTGACATGCACGTGTTTGGGTGAATATAAAGGAGGAGCGCTTATAGAGAATGAGCATCAGTCACTGGCGCACGAGCGTGACTCGGGTAATGAATCACAGTGTGAACACGTTCCCTGTTCGAGAGGGAAACACCTTGACAGTAGATAACCCAGTTTCGGATGTCACCCACCTCTCTATTGGAGATCACGCTACATGTAAACAAAGCGCCACTGAATCGCGGCGAATGCACAGATAGCCTTGAAGATTGTAACTTTGTTATAGCAACAAGTCGTTGGTTGCTGAGGTCACGCTGAAAAACATCTCACGACTGATTTATGAGGATGATGTGTGTCATGATGTCTTTTGGAAGAGCGCGCGAGCAGTTGCACGTGAGTTTGTTTACGCGCCACGCGAGACCGGAAACATTTGTCAAAACATCGGTAACCGTAACGCAAGGCACGCGGTACAGTAGCCTACGAAATGTATTTCACATCAGAAATGCAACGTGCAGATGGAAAAATAACACCAGCATGTAATTGTAAAATGAAAAGATGAAAAACAATTACAGTCCTTCCTTGGCAATATCAAACGTGAGCGTGTAATGTCTCTATTTTACAAAGTTCAACAAGAAGTTATATCAACATTGGCGAAGATAAAACAGTGCATATAGCTATAACTCTAATCGGGTGATTGAAAAATTAATGTAGAAAGATCTAGAATAGCTAACACGTATAGCCAATATATTGTTTTAACTCACCTGGACTGCCGTCCATAGTGTCTGTTCCTGATGTTGATGAAGGAAGAGCGGGAATCTGAAGCGGCTCTATTATGATATTCAGCGTGTTTCAAATTCCGTCCACACAAAACTTCAATAAGTCTTTTATGGAAATGTCTCGGGAAAAGAATAAGCTGATTCTCAAAAGTCAGATGTCCTTCAGGTTAGCAGGGCAATGCGCCGTCCTCAGTCTTAGAGAGCTGAGCTGGAACACTGTGTACAGTACAGTAACAGTCCGAGCTAGTGACCTGGCATCAAGGCAGAGATGTGCAACTAGTTTGAGACGAGCACAAGCATCACACCAAACACGTTTTCAGGTGCTTTAGAAATGTGACTGAGCTTCCCCCCACTAGTTTCCCCCCTCCTTT